CTTGTGGGGATTCCTTGCGAGCTTTGGGCTAACACGCCTTTTAGGAGAGTTATCATCCGAGAGAATGCCCCGGAGGCTTCGGAGTATATCGCTGATTATATCATCAGTAAGTCCTGTCTCTCACTCCTTCTATATCCAGTTTGCATCAAAAGGGCTCCGTTTCTAATGCGACCACTAGGTCGAATCAAATCCTTCAAGCCAACGGAAAGCCAACCTTTTGTTCTTGGCCTCCCAACCGGCAGCAGTCCCGAAATCATCTACAAGACCCTAGTCCGTCGTCATAGAGCGGGCGACATCTCTTTCAAGCATGTCGTAACCTTCAATATGGTATTCCTCCCCTTTCTCCCGCTACTGCACCGTTGAATTCTGGACGGGATGCTGACCAAGACAGGACGAATATGTCGGATTGCCCCGTGATCATCCCGAATCGTACCACAGCTTTATGTATAAGCATTTTTTCTCGCACGTTGATATTCCGCCGCAAAACATCAACATCCTTGATGGGAACGCCCCAGAACTTGCCGCAGAATGTGCCTCTTTTGAGGCGCGAATCGCACGTTATGGTGGCATTGAACTCTTCCTGGGTGGCGTCGGACCCGACGGCCATATTGCGTTTAACGAACCGGGATCCTCATTGAGCAGTCGCACTCGTGTGAAAACCCTCGCATATGACACCATCTTAGCCAACTCTCGATTCTTTGGCAATGACATCGATAAGGTCCCCCGGATGGCATTGACGGTGGGAATTCAGACTATCATGGAAGCGAGAGAGGTCGTGATTGTCGCAACTGGGGCACACAAAGCGTTGGCAGTGGAAAAGGGTCTTGAAGGTGGCGTAAACCACATGTGGACGTTATCTGCCCTACAGCTACACCAACACCCACTGGTCGTATGTGATCGCGATGCAACGCTGGAACTCAAAGTCAAGACTGTACGGTACTTCGAGTCCATCGAGAACTCTGGGACGGACGCACGGACTCAGGGTCCTCCTCTGGTCTATCGTCCGAGAACTTACGTGCCCGCTCCTATCGGGGTGATCAAGTCCCACCAGCAGCCTACCCCATTGTCCACACCAACCAAGGTGCCCAAGGATCTGAGGATTAACACAGAGCTCAGTCAGACGATTGAGGATGATGAGCTTACGCCGGATAGCATGTCCTCTCGAATGGTCGATTCTGCCATCAGTGGGTTGGATTCGACGTTGAAAGATGAACTCATGTTTGATCGGATGGGCACTAGAGTTGTGTCATAAAAGGGTTCATCCGAGAACTGAGCGCTCGTCACAATTGAAATTGTTCCTGATACCAAGTACTTAAGAAAGCCTCACCAGGGGTATTCTGCAGATCGGGGGATTCTGGCATTTAAGTCCCAGCATATCTAGCAAGAAAACACATCTTCTGTTCTTTCTTTGGTTTGATTCGTTTTCTTGCTGTTTCTAGCTTGTTGTTTGTCTTCAGACTTCTTTCGTGTCTTGTTTTGTTATTCTTTTTGTGGCTGTGCCGCTTATTTTCTACGCACATCAAGGAGTTTTATTTTCTTTCCTTGCTTTTATTATTGTGATGACCTCGTGCAATTTGCTTTCTGCTTTGTCTCAATGTTCATAGAATCTTGATCTTTTAGTGTTGTTGCCTAGATTAAAACCAGTTGGCTTTGCTAAATGAATATCAAATAAACAAGGAGTCTCTTCTCATACGCTTTTGGGATTTCTTTATCTTGTAACATTATGACATACATGAATGGTCTGGGTGAGGAGCCGTCACAATGGTGTTTGAGAACAATCAAGTACTCTCTGAATGAGCGTTGTGTACCCACTGATGTCGGTAAAAGATGGAAGTATATATAATGGCCCGCCCTGGCTTGGTAGTTTCACCTCAGACATCTCAAACACCTATATATGGCATTCAAGGCGACACAAACTGAAAAAATCGCTGCGGCGTGTTTCTCAATGAGTTCTATCCTACGCCCTGATAGTTGGGGTCTTGCAGTCTCGAACATACCATGTAGTTGTTGCGGGGAGAATAAAGAGAGGAAAACAAGAAAAGTATGTGTTTGTATATATACAGAGGTTGGATTTGAATTTCTTTTCCACCAACTACTGACTAATGTTGCGTATTAGACTGGGGCAATCCTCGTCCAGTATAACGCTTATAGTTTGGCAAACACCGTGGCAACCTCGCCGCTCATCTCAACGAGAGTGCTCTTGTTCTTCACCCACGCCTCAATACCCTTGCGACCATTCTCGACGCCAACGCCGCTGTTCTTCCAGCCGCCGACGGCCATCTCAGCCGGGCTTTCGCCCCAGGTGTTCACCCAGGTGATGCCTGCCTGGAGTTGGTCAATGATACGATGAGCGGTATTAAGGTCCTTAGTGAATACACCAGCCGCTAGGCCGAGCTCAGTGGCATTGGCCCGCTTGACCGCTTCCTCGACGGTTTCGTAGTACAGGATGGACATCACCGGACCGAATATCTCCTCCTTTACAATCTTCATGTCATCTCTGCAGTCGGTGAAGATCGTGGGCCGAACCCAGAACCCAGCCTCCAGCTCCTTGGGCACTTGGGGCTTGCCGAGTCCGCCGTACAGAAGGGTGGCCTTGTCAGTTTCGATGCCGTGACGAATGTAGGAGACAACCTTCTCAAGATGGGCAGCGGAGCTCAGAGGACCAAAGTTCGTGGCCTCGTCAAAGAGAGGGCCGGCGCGGATGTACCGCATCTTCTCCAGAAGCAGCTTCTCGAATTCGGATTTCATGGCCGCCGGCACGAAGACACGGGTCCCATTCGTACAAACCTGACCCGTGCTGTAGAAGTTGGCCATCATAGCCCCATCGACGGCCTTTTCCACCTCGGCATCCGGGCAGACGATCAGCGGACTCTTGCCGCCTAGCTCCATGGTCACGTATTTCATGTTGCCTGAGGCCGAGCCAGCAACCTTCATGCCCGTCGACACCTGGCCAGTGAAGGAGACCTTGGCAATGGTCGGGTGGGTTGTCAAGTAGGCGCCAACGTCGCCGGCACCGTAGACAACATTGAAGACGCCGGCGGGAAGTCCAGCTTCCCGGTAGATCTCGGCGAGGGTCTGCGCATGCAGGGGGGTGAATTCACTAGGCTTGTACACCATGGTGTTACCCGCAGCCAGGCACGGTGCCGATTTCCATAGCGCACTAGTTTCCTCTTTGTTAGCACACCAGAATTCGACTCGTCAACCTACAGCAAGGGAAAAACATACATTTGAATGGGGTAGTTCCAGGCGCCGATGCCGGCACAGACACCCAACGGAGCCTTTTTGGTGTACACCCAAGCGTCGTCTCTCAACTGCGTGGTTTCCCCGTTCAAACCGCCGCCGCCCACTAGGTTCGCATAGTATTCCAACACGTCGGCACCCGTAACGACGTCGACCGTGCTCGTCTCGGTATAGGCCTTCCCGGAATCCAAGGTTTCCACGCGGGCGATTTCGTCGTTACGCTCGCGCAACAGGGCGGCGGCCTTTTGGAGGATGCGCGTGCGCGCGATGGGGGGAGTCTGAGACCAGGAAGGGAAAGCGCGGTCCGCGGCGGCAATGGCAGCATCTACATCGGCGTGCGAGGCGACATGAATTTCGGCTAGCGGAGTGGCATTGGAGGGATTAACGGTGTGGAAAGTCTTGCCGGAGGAGGCCGACTGGACCTGACCGTCGTAATAGAGCTGGCGCGGGGTAACGGACATGATATGATGAAAGAAGAAAGTGGAAGGAGGAAGGAGGAGAGGAGTTCGAAGGCGGATCCAAGAAAAGCGGGATCTAAGATGTGTTTAGAGAAGAAAGGTGATGGTCACGGTATTCAGTAGATTATGTCGACCCGATGGAGGGAGGGAGGAAGATGAGGAAACGCAGGTGGCGGGGACAAGAGAGAAAGAGAGAGTGAGAGAGAGAGTGAGTGAGGCCGTGCCTCGGAAGAAAAAAAAAAAAAAAAAAAAAAAAAAAACGGCGCGGAAACAAGAAACAAGAAACAAGATCCTCAGGCTTCTCTCCCTCACCGCCATCCCATTTGGAGAATCTTTCCATCCTCCGCCGATCTCCTACTACAAGTCTGTCAAGTCTTCACAATAGAATAGCCTACAATCTACCTCTTCTTCTTGCCTCGGGGACGATGATGGACGATAATGCTGACCTGATTGATTCTCAATCCCCTCCAATCAGCCTGTCTGCTCATCCGCTTACCCAGTCAGGTATACAAATCCTCAAACTCCCGTCGACTCAAAGAAGGTCAAAGACTCCCTCCGCGGTGTATCTCCGTTTAACCAGTGCTTTAGTGGGATCGTGGCGCCGGTTAGCGCCTGGGTGTGACGTCGTCTTTCTACCTTTCGAATGAGACACGCGAGGTTGATGAGAACCAGCCATCTGTTGGGCCCAGAATCCGCGAGTCCTGGGTAAACCGGGAGCTCTATCCACTCTTCACCGTAAACCTGACAGCCCAGTGAGCCCCGGAGCAGAGATCCCAAGGTCTTGAAAAGAAAGACAAATAGAGAAGACCGTATCAGACCATAACTCCGTACGGAGTATGTCCATAGTCCACATGGAACTCATGCAGGATTATCTATTATCTAATACGCCGACTTAGTTCCACTAGATGGAGAATGTTTCCATGTCTCGACCAGTCAGAGAGCGTACTTTTTTGGTGCCTTTTCTCGAGGTGGGGAACCCTGGGAGCACGGCAGAAAAAAAAAAGTAGAAGAAAAAGAGATGGAGATGTTGTGTTGAGGAACAACCGTGGACGAGGGAAAAAAAAAAAAAAGGGCTGATGGTTGGCCGAACGGCCGAACCGGCAAAGGTATCACCGCAACTTTTTTTCCCTGTCGGCAGACTTTTTGGCTCGATTTAAAGAGGCCTTTTATTTTCCCCTTCCTTTTCTTTTTCCTCGACTTTCCTTTCCACCCCCACCCTTTGTCCTCTCTCCCTCCTTTTATTTCTACATTTCCCGCCCTTCTCCATTCTCCCTTCATTCCGACCTCAAACTTTTTGTCATCATGATCACCACGAACGAGTTCCCCGCCAGCGACTTGAACAGCTATGACTATGTCATCGTGGGAGGTGGCACGGCGGGTTGTGTTATCGCCAGTCGATTGGCCGAGTACCTGCCTAACAAGCGCATCTTGGTCATTGAAGGTGGCCCCAGTGATTTCAACGACGATCGTGTCCTCAACCTGAGAGAATGGTTGAACTTGTTGGGAGGCGAGTTGGACTACGATTATCCTACCACCGAACAGCCTAATGGTACGTTGCACCGCATACCCTCCATGCTTCTCCGGTCCCACAAGTGATCCGGGTGTCATGCTTTGCCCGGATGATCGGAATCGCAGGACAAATCCCTTTCTTCCTCTTCATCTCTCTGTGTTTCTCACGTTTCTTGTGTTACAGGTAACAGCCATATCCGCCACTCTCGTGCCAAGGTGCTGGGTGGTTGCTCTAGCCACAACACCCTCATCTCCTTCCGTCCTTTCGAGTATGACTGCAAGAGATGGGAACAGCAAGGCTGCAAGGGCTGGTCTTTCGGAACTTTCACTCGCGTGCTTGACAACCTGCGCAACACCGTCCAGCCTGTCCACGAGCGTCACCGCAACCAGCTGTGCAAGGACTGGATCGAGTCTTGCTCGACTGCCATGAAGATTCCCATCATCCCCGATTTCAACCGGGAGATCCGTCTCAATGGCGAGTTGACCGAGGGTGTCGGATTCTTCAACGTCTCCTACAATCCCGACGATGGCCGTCGCAGCAGCGCCAGTGTCGCGTACATTCACCCTATCCTGCGTGGAGAAGAGAAACGCCCCAACCTGACCATCCTTACCAACGCTTGGGTGTCTCGCGTGAACGTTCAGGACGACACCGTCACCGGAGTTGACGTGACTCTGCAGTCCGGAGCCAAGCACACCTTGCGCCCCAAGAAGGAAACGATTCTGTGCGCCGGTGCCGTCGACACCCCCCGACTGATGCTGCTGTCCGGATTGGGTCCCCAGGAGCAACTCCGCTCGCTGGGTATTCCCGTCGTTAAGGACATTCCCGGTGTCGGCGAGAACCTTCTCGACCACCCTGAAAGTATCATTCTTTGGGAGCTCAACCAGCCCGTTCCTCCCAACCAGACGACCATGGACTCGGACGCCGGCATCTTCTTGCGCCGAGAGCTTCCCAATGCCGCTGGAACCGATGGTCGCGCCGCCGATGTCATGATGCACTGCTACCAGATCCCCTTCTGCCTCAACACGGAACGTCTCGGATATGACTCTCCCACCAATGCTTTCTGCATGACCCCCAACATCCCCCGCCCCCGCTCCCGTGGTCGCCTGTACTTGACCTCCGCCGATCCCCAGATCAAGCCCGCCTTGGACTTCCGTTACTTCACCGACCCTGAGGGCTACGATGCCGCCACCATTGTCGCTGGTTTCAAGGCTGCCCGTGAGATCGCTCAGAAGGCGCCCTTCAAGGACTGGATCAAGCGTGAAGTGGCTCCGGGCCCCAAGGTTCAAACCGACGAGGAGCTGTCTGAGTACGGTCGTCGGGTGGCCCACACCGTCTACCACCCCGCCGGTACCACCAAGATGGGTGATGTGACCAGCGACCCCTTGGCCGTGGTGAACTCCCAGCTCAAGGTCCGTGGCTTGAAGGGTGTCCGTGTCGCCGATGCCGGTGTCTTCCCCGAAATGCCCAGTATCAACCCCATGTTGACTGTCCTGGCCATTGGCGAGCGTGCTGCCGAGCTGATCGCCGAGGAGGCCGGCTGGAAGCGCGAGCAGCCCCGTCTGTAAATGCCTCTTTCACTTTGGATCGTTTACTTGATACCTTACTTTCTTGTCTTTCGAAGATCCCATTATGGATGGAATTTGAATACTCGACAAGAGTTGGGGCATGAGCGGCTTCAATCTGGAGCCCAGAAACCAAATTATATATTGAAAAAACAAGAGGGGGCGGAAATGTCGGCGTGTAACTTCATGCGCGCCTGCATGGCGTGTGCAACAATATCAGCCTTACGACCGTACATGATTCATGACACCAAATGAACAACCAACCCATGCGTTTGACAAAAGACAAAGAAAAAGAAGATATTCTCTCATGTACCCTTTTTTTCTCTGTGGCGGTTGTCTCTCTTTGGGTGGTTGTTAGTGATTGCTTGTTGCCCAGCGCATGGTTTTGTACAGTTTCCATACAATCACGAAAACGAGTTTGTTGGCTGTGCAGATGGCTTTGCTATTGTAAAACATTGACGTATACATATAGAACAGATAGACTTGAGCAAACGAAATGGCATGGAAGTAAGCAGTCGTCAATATGAGGTCTACAATAACAAAAAAAAAAAAAAAAAAAAAAAAAAAAAAAAAAACTCTTCAATGTCCATGAAATAGATCTGTCTAAAATCACAGGTATTTATCTCATTCAGTTGGATGGTTTTAAATCTAATGGTATAACGTCTGTCTATGCTGCAATAGGCTTCGAAACAAAAAAGACAAGACTAACTTCACGGAAGCCAGGAAAACAAATCAAAGAAAGAAAAGCCAGGTCCTGCCATTGAACGGGAAGGGAAATCACTTCGTTGCAGAGAAAACAAGAAAAAGCCAAAAAAAAAAAGGGCAGTAGAGCCAGTCGCCTGTGGCATGATGGGAGAGACACAGGGGCCTGCCTGACAGAAGCAAAGCCTATCTCACTGAGAGCTTCCCTTCTTGGCGAAAACGACACTCGTCTAAATCTACTTGCATTCTCACGCTCGGCCAACGGCTGCCCCTTTCTCGGTATCGAAGATCTTGACTCCACGCTTCCACACCTGATCAACCGTCAAAGTGGGTCCGGAGTAGGGATCTGTCTCGTCGCTGAGCACCACCAGATCCGCGTCAGCACCGCTATCCATAGAACCCTTGACGCCCTGTAGCCCCAAGAGGCGTGCCGGGGTGGCTGTCACGGAGTTGAGAGCCTCTGCGGTCGAGGCGCCTGACCATCGACGGAAATTGTTGACACACTCGATGAGGGTGGCGGAACTGCCGGCAATCTTGTCCGACCCTTCGAGAGTTAAACGGGCTCCGGTTTTAATGATGCGCTCGCCGTTGGTCCACTCGTAGATGCCGTCTGGGAGACCGCAGAGCTTCATGGCATCGGTAACGAGGATGAGCCCGTCTGGGTGGGCATTGTACGCGATGCGGACGGAGGTAGGGTGAAGGTGAATACCGTCGGCGATCACGCCGTAGCAAGGTCGACGGCGCTCGTTTTGGCCCAACAGACCAAAAATGCCGGGGTTTCGGTGATAGAAAGGCCGCATAGCATTGAATAAGTGGGTGATCATGGTGGCTCCTTGCTCAGTGGCCGACATCGCTTGTTCGTACGTAGCGTCAGAATGCCCTATGGAGTAGATGATACCGTTGGAGGTCAGGGACGAGATATTCGCGATCATGTTCCCGACCTCGGGGGCCGCGGTGATCATTTTCACCGTTTGCGTGTCCCCAATCAAGTTCTCCTTGCCGTAGCACTCGAATAGGTCTGGGAAGCCTTTGGCGGCCTGCAAGACTTCGGTTTTGTGGACGCCATTGCGACCCGGACTAATGAACGGGCCCTCTACATGTGCACCCAGCGATTCTGCCCCATCTTCCGCGCAATGTGTGTCTCCCGATGGCCCTAAGGAAGGAAGTACCTAGACCGTTCTGTTAGCCATCTTGAGGCGGGATAAGGGACTAATGGGGGAGGGGACTGCCTACCTTCCAGTATACTTCTGGGGTGGAGCTAACAACGGTTGGCAGATATGAAGTCACACCCGTGCGGGCAAGGCCCTTGTTGACCATACGTAAACCTTCATCGTATTCTTCTCTGGAGGCATGAGGGACGGAGAAATCGAAGCCTTGGGCGCCATTCAGCTGCACGTCGATGAGGCCGGGGGCCAAGATGCGTCCGCCCAAGTCGACGACCTCATCGGGAGAAAGATGCAAGCCGTAGAATGCCTCCTGAGCCCGAAGGATCTTTCCGGATAGGGAATCGATCCAGACGTCTTGCTCTATGAGATCATTGTCCTTGATGATGCGGCAGTTGGTAAATTTGGTGATGCGTGGAGGTGACGAGGTCTTGCCCGGCATGATGGTGTGGATTATCAAAGCGGTTAGAGATTAACGAGAAAACCAGACAAAAGAAGTAGAGAGGGTGGGGGTGGGCCTCATATGAGGAGAAAGGGGAGTATGAAAAGGGACGATGACGGACACCAGGAATGGGGAAGGTAAAGGAAAGGGCTGGAAAGGATGCCGGTAGCTACATGGTGACATTCGAAAGGGCAGAAAGAAGGAACGCAATGCCCAAAGCGGGCGAGGATGTGACGTCGACAGGTATGAGGCTGTTCGAGGTGACATAACCAGATCCGGGGTGGTGTCCATAACTCCATATACAGTCATAGGTATGATACGTATGGTATCATACCGTCGATGACCGTATCCCGGAGAGGTACGATATGTAATGGTAACATTACCTACCACACGGCCACGCAGTGTATATAAGTACCGTAGGTTGTAGTTATGTAAATTACTAGGTAATCCTGCCGAGGCACGCCACCCTGCAGGTCACGACATGGATTCCTTCCTTCAGGAGATGATCTTCATCTGACTACATACAACAATGGCTCTTTCGTGCTTCCAGTAACTACACGGCAGATGGTAGATGGTAGATGGTGGATAGTAAGTCCTTGGCAGGTCGGGCAAGAAGGTGCTCCTTTCCGATGGACGATGAATAATAAAAACCAGCCGAATCCCACCCCCGCATTCGGCATGGTTGCAAGCAGCCGATGTTACCGTCGCCTTCGGTCAGGCGACGAGGCCGGCCCGCGTTGCAATTCTGTCGGGTCACGAGGAGATAGCCGTCGCTTAGCCCGTCCCTCGTGGAGATAAGACTATCCCGAACGGGCAAGTGCGATGGATCACGACCAGCTCAACGAGTCGTCGTTCGCGCGCGGAAATCGACTTCCCTTTCCATTTTCTATCGCGCTTCTTGTCTTCTCTCTGGACAGTGGACCCACTTTCTTCGCCTCCCACTTTTTTCTTTCTTTCTTTTTTTTTGTGGTTGCGCTCCGCTGGATCGGCAAAGCCCTCGTTGCAGCCTCGCTGCCTCGCCAACTTTTTTTTTTTTTTTTTTTTTTTTCTTCTTCTCCGCATCATCTCCATGAGTGGAGCCCGTGAAATTTACGGAGTAATCTGAAATGCGAAAGAATCGTCGCGGGTGCCACGGGGGATTGAGAGGAGAGAGTGGATCTGGATCACGATGTTCCTCGAGGGGGATCGACCCAGCACATCGTGTCCCCGGTTGAGTCCCCTCGATTATCTCTCCAGTTTCTCTCGAGACTCCGTCATCACCCGGTTGACTGTTGCAGCGTGGTATTTAAATGTTAGCTGTCAACCGTTATCTCTCCCGCTGGTAGTAGTTTCTGGTACGAGTAAGACACTCGCCGTCCCTATCTTGGGTGGTCCCATCAGCTAACTCTCGAGCTAACTAAGTGCTACTAAAAAAAAACGAAACGAAAGAAAAAAAATTTCCTCTAACATGGGGTTTGTTGAGATAAAATAATCAGCCAATTTTCGCATGTTCGAGAAACTTATTTGTTTCTTCTCTCCCCCCATTGTTCACTGTTCCCCCGGAATCATCACAAACATTCCTGGCAGCTTGTTTGTTGTCGTCCATTCTTCCTCTCTTGCTCCAGTCCACTCCACTATTTGATTACTTTCTCTCGTTCCTCCTCCCTGACTTGCCTTACCTCCATCACACATTTCTCGTCCCTCGAGAAGTCCTAATCGCTCTGGGAGTTCTTCTTTTTGTGTGATCTGTATATATATACATATCTTCATACATACTTGTACGCATATCCATTGACCCCAATCGGTTCGTCCTGCATTGAAGCTTCCCAAATTGCGGGCTGTATACGAACTTGATCTCTGACTTTCTCTACAGCACTTTTACGAACTGTCGGCTGCAACTTAAGATCTGACGACTCATTTCCTTTCCTGAAGTTTGTCGCTTTCGTCTGCGTTTCGAGATAATGGCGTCTTCGACCTCCGGCGAAGAGCGCCAACCCGAGAAGGAGGTTCCTACGACCACAATGGATACCGAGTCTGGTGGCTCCTCCATCAAGGGGAAGTCGTGGATGTATAGGCCGCTCAGAATTGGGTCCCTGAAGATGCCCTGGTTCGCGTCCCCAGAGACCCAATTGGTCTTGGTCTCCTTTGTTTGCTTCCTCTGCCCGGGAATGTTCAATGCCGTCAGCGGTCTTGGTGGTGGTGGTCAAGTTGACCCGACCGATGTCAGCAATGCCAACACAGCCCTGTACAGCACGTTCGCCGTGGTTGGGTTCTTTGCGGGCTCCATCGCCAACCGCATTGGTCTCCGTCTGACCCTGTCCTTGGGCGGATTCGGTTATTTCCTCTATGTGGCCTCGCTCTTGTCATACAATCACAATGCGAATGCTGGCTTCCTGATCTTTGCCGGTGCTCTTCTCGGTGTATGTGGTGGCTTGCTGTGGTGCGCGCAGGGTGCAGTTATGATGAGCTATCCGAAGGAAGAAGAAAAGGGAAAATTCATCTCTATCTTTTGGGTCATCTTCAACCTGGGTGGTGTCATCGGCAGCTTGGTAAGTCCGGAAGGTCTCTTCTTATTGTCAAACATCCGGTAGCTCTAACGCTGGATGCACGCATAGATTCCCCTGGGACAAAACATGCACTCGGATGCAGGGCGGGTCAATGACGGTACTTATATCGCCTTCATGGTCCTCATGGCAATCGGTTTCGCTCTCGCATGGACACTCTGCGACTCCAAGTACGTCAAGCGCAATGATGGCTCGCATGTCATCGTGATGAAGAACCCTACGTGGAAGTCCGAGTTCCTCGGTCTTTACGAAACACTGCGTAGCGATTATTATATCGTCCTCTTTTTCCCCATGTTTCTGGCCAGCAATTGGTTCTACGGGTATCACTTCAACAGCGTGAATGGCGCCTATTTCAACGTTCGCACCCGTTCGCTGAACAGTCTTCTTTATTGGCTGATGCAAATGGTTGGCGCCTTTGTCTTCGGTTTCACCCTTGATCTGAAGTTCTTATCCCGTCCCATGCGCGCCAGACTCAATCTATTCATTCTCTTCGCCCTCACCATGGGTATCTGGGGTGGCGGTTATGCCTTCCAGAAGCACTACAATCGCGATTCCCTTACGGCAGCGGATCTGAAGGATTGGTCCAGCAGCGGGTACATCGGACCCATGTTCCTTTATATGTTCTACGGATTCTATGACGCCGCCTTTCAGACCTGCGCTTATTGGTCAGTCATTTCTTCCTCGCCTTTTTACTTTGAATCGCTCGACTGACTTGATGCACAGGTTCATGGGATCTCTCACCAACAACGGTCGCAAATTGGCCAATTTTGCGGGCTTCTACAAGGGAATTCAATCCGCAGGTGCGGCAGGCATGTGGCGGTAAGTCTCCTGATCTCTTGTCTTGAAGGCTACCTCGACTAACTTTCCTGTGTTTGATAGTCTGGACGCAATTGGAACGCCCTATATGACAGAATTCGCCTCGTGTTGGGGTTTGCTCGTCGGAAGTCTCCTGATCGCGTCCCCGGTTATTCTGTTCAAGATCAAGGAGAGCACAGACGTGGAAGAAGATCTAAAATTCTCCGACGAGACCGCTCAGGATGTAGTGGGCGTTCCTTTGGAGGATCAACAGTCAACCGAAAAGAAGGACGAGAAGCATGTCCCCGTCGCTTGATTCCTCTCTGGGCTATAGATACCTATCTATACCTCTCTTCCCCTTATATATACATGTATTTTCTTTTAATGCACTTCCGCCGCGGTGGGAGTCTTTTGCAACGACGGCATGACGAGATGGTCGTTTCTGTTGGCAGTTTACTTACTGTTTTCGGGTGTTGTATAATACTTTACTCGGAACATTTACGGTCGGACTTTTCTTTGGGATTTTTGAATAAGTTAGGTTACAAACAAAGGCTGGCCTGTCTACACTAGCAGCACCAATTTATAATAAATGAAGTTCTTAATTCTTATCTTTGGGCATAGCCAATTGGCCTTCTTTCTCCCAAGCTTATGTTCCTCGATTTATATTCATATATATCATGTGCACAACCTCACCAGTCACACAGTTCGGACTCTGTGAGCCGAATCAGTGAGCGCTAGGGCTGGGAGTAGCCGAGGGCAGCGGCACATAGGACTCAGTATGAGTCGTCCTCGCGGTTCCATTGGAGCTATACCCGGGCCAAATCTGGGTAGTACCCTCGGCAATATCCCAACCGAACAAAGTCCGATTGAACAGCTGCAGGGAAGCGGTGGGCTGATAGTACGGCACCTCATGACCGGCCTGATACACCCTCGTGAAGGAGAAATTGCCGAACTCGCGAGTCTCGCCATACTCCACGCCATCCACCGTTAGGGGGGTGTAGCCCGCGGCCCGGAACTGGCGGGTGTGCGTGTAGTTCACGGCCAGGGAGACGGCCTCGCCGCCGAACCAGTTACAGATGTAATCGGCGTCGCCGTAGATGAGTGACACGCGGACCGGCAGCTGCAAGATCTCTTCCAGGTCCTCGATGAAGTTCGGCCAGACGTGGTCGCCTGTCTGTTGGAATGCGTAGTATACGTCGTCGTTCGATTGCGTGTAGTTGATGTTTACGCCGATGGCGTTCATCACGGCGTCTTTTTCCAGGTATTGGTTGTACCAGCTGGGTGGGGTGGGGTCCTATTCGAGAGGATTGTATTGGTTAGAGGTGGGCTCTATTTCTCAATGGTTTGGGATGGACTTCATGTGTATAAAGGGATGGATGGATGGATGTATATATGTAGGGAGGGGTGGGTAGAGTAGTCCGTGCTTACATCAATTGGGTGTCGAATGTCATATACACCGCGCTTTCCGATATTGTAGTAGGGACTCTCTGTCAAGTGCCCGGGATTAGTCGCTTGCCATTGGAAGAGGGCTCGAAGGGACAGGTTGGTTGCAAACATACCGACATTATCTCTACACATGTTGGTGGCTTCGGTGCAGAGGGCGTAATCGCCCAACGAGGTTCGGTTCGTCTGCTTGCACAGAGCAACCTGATCTTGGCATCCGTTGGGCATCGTATTGGCGAATTTCATGTAGTTGTAGACCGTGTCGTTGACCTATTCATTCCATCCGGGGTGGTGAGCAATGTCTGGGGATTTTGAAGGCCATGACATATATAGCTGTGAATGTGTGTGTTTGATTATGGGGAAAGGGAAGACTCACGGCTTTGATACCGTAGGTGTTATTGACAGCAAACTCGGGGTAATAGCCGGCCTAAATTCCGATTGTTAGCAGTGTGATATATAGAAATGGGGATCCCTCTAGGTAATCTGGACGCATCTTCAACATACCTGAATAGCCTCATCGATTATACCGTTGATTATACCGAGAGAGTTGAAATCAAGATGAATTCCATCGACCGTGCCGTTGGAGATGCGTTCGTTTTGCTCATGGAAGTAGTTGAAGAACTAATGTCATGAGCTACCATTTATGGATACGATCCGATTCGATCTGGGTTGAACACTTACAGCCGGCCCATAATGCCTATGACAGACGGACATGCAGTCAGTATACGTGTGCACCTCGTGAGGTTGTTCAAGAACTCACCCTCCATAGCTTTCCGTCCATAAGCTGAAATCCTTGGATTTGATCCTGGAATCTAACTGCGGAAGACCCCCAAGGAATCCCTGGAGTACTTCCCAGGAGGCATGCGCAGCCAGCTCGGTAGTATCTAGATAGCTTCCACAGCTGATCAGAAAAACCTCACCCTCCAAGCTTTTTAGTGAAGATAAAGGGGAAAACGAACCAAGTAAAGTAGCATCGATCTTGGGATAGCGACCCTTGACGCCGTCGAAAGTTGCATTTTCGACCACGCCGGTCACGGGATTAATGGAGCCATTTACAGTATCGCTATACGAAAACCCTGCAGGAAACCAATGAGTCGTGAAAGAAACGATGTGTAGAATCGAGGGAATGGAGCTCACCGACGCCCAATGGCTGCGACAGGAACAGAAGATTGGAGACCTCGTTCCACGAGTGCGGGTTGAGGTAGGATTCGAAGCTGGAGTTCACATGGCAAGGGCCCAATTCTGGTTAAAGCATACGGTATCAGCTTCCCTGTCCACAACGACTATCACCTAGAAGCCAAATAGTGGCCAGAACCAACCTTCAAAAAGACCAATCAAGGAATCACTTCCCGGGCCACCGTTCAACCAGAGAGTAATGGGGGCATTTTCGGGATCGTGGCGGGCCTCGAAAAACCAAAAGAAGGTGTGCGATGTAGGCGACAGATCCACGTATCCGGAGTATGACTTGACTCCAGGAGTAGTCTCACAGACACCCTCGCTGCCGGGCTCCTTGTACCGAATGGTGACATTGTTGGGAGTTGTGATGGTCTTCACGCCAGTAGGGTCCTTGGGAAGTTGTCGTTTCCCAGCCCCTGGTGGTACATTGAAGGACCTGGTCCAGCCTGGCACGGCCAGCGAAAGCAATGACAGCGCCGTATATACACGCATATTCCCAGCGACGGAAGATGGGTCGGGTACGTATGAATATATATACTAGAGGCACGGTGCTGGAAAGGTAGAATCTAACCAAAGACCATTCCACGTCCCAGTCGACAGGCGGAGAAAGAGGGGATCATTGCGCCCATTTTATACGGTGTACAGTGAGAGCACCGGGGAATTGGGATTGGGTTCTCTGATTGACCGACGGCCCACATAGCGTGAGGGGAAAGCAAGGCGAATGCTACTCGAAGTCCGGCTTGAAAGTTGTCAACGCGGCCAGGAAGGCCGTTTCGGCACCAGATGGGGTCTAGCGACCAACACTAAGCATTTCATCGCGCAGATGGCGCCATCCTTTCTCATCCCGTCCCTTCGGTTGCCCGGATAGAGGGAAAGATAGATAGTCATGACATAAATTTTAAGAAAATATACAGTATATAGTTATTATAGACAAGAATAGTACAAAAAGAAAAAAGCCAGCCCATCCCATCCCAAGTCCATTAACACCTTTTTAGGTTTGTACACATTCATTCGCTTGACGTTAATAACCTCCTCCTGGCACTCAAAGATTCAGTCCCAGCTCGGCGTCGAGGTCGGTGCTGAGGCCTGCTGGGCCACGATCGCTATGCGCTTGCCCGGTCAGATCCAAGCCTTTACTCTCGGGATCAAACCCCAACCCATCATGCATATTATCCATATTCATAGAGTCCAATCCGAACCCAAAGCTCTTTCCGCCAGAACCACTGCTAGGGTGAAGACCCTCCTCCGCCGAGAAGAGTTCCGCGCCGGCATCGTCAAAGTTGATCAGCGCGTCGAAATCATTTTGCGTCACCTCCGCATCGTTTGCCAAGTCCATAAGCTCACTGAGACTGAGCTCGGGGTTGAAGTTGGGAATGCCAAACGCGTCTTGAGCGTAGCTCGAATTGAGGTTGTTGGTACTGCCGTTCTCACTGCCGTCCGAAGGAGGAGGGGTCGATGCGAATGCGGCGTCGTGTTCGCCGGCCAGCGCCGCAATTCCGGACGCGTCCGACTTGGGGTATGTCAGGTCGGGGATCTTCTGGGCGAGCGAATCGGGAGGCGGGGTCAGGGTGTTGAGACGCGCCGCCGTATCGAGCGTACTTCCTCCACGCGTTTGCACGTCCTGAGGCGAGACGGTCAGCTGAATGCCAGCCTTGCGGATGGCAGCTTCCAAGAATGACGTGGCAAAGTCGGCAGAGGCATAGATCTCCCGCAAACGTTGCAAGATGCGCATGCACTGGTAGAACCGCCGAAGACTGGTCGTTCGGATGTTCGGGTCGCTGGACTTGATGTCGAGAAGATGAATGATGACGGCGGGCAGCAAGACCGTAACGCCGGTCGTGGGGAAATATCGTGTGAGATCCAGGCTGTGTAGATCCTGGGCGATATTGGTGATCTCCACGGCGGCAAATCGGACCTTGCTTCTCGAAATCTCCTGTAGCTCAGCATCCGTGGAGGGGAACGGAATGGCCGGAAGCACCTGGGGACGATGTAGGGCGCTCGAGGTGGTTAGATAGACCATCTTGAGCAAAGCGCGATGCGAATGCAGAACCTCCTGGGCTTCGGTTAACTTGGAGGGGGCGGCAGGCGAGTATTGGATCTCCGCAGGAAGATGGGCCCGCCAATCTTCCAACTCCTGATCGCACCGTCGCACCTCGAACGTTTCGGCCGCCGACTTTTTGGGAACCAGCATCATGGTCGTCTCCATCGTTCCACCAAATTTATGACTTAGAACCGAATATTGGGCGGAAAGCACGTGGCTGACGCACAGACAAAGCTTGGCTTTCTCGATAAACATAAGGGCGAGCTGTTTCTGGTGATTGACGCTTTGGAGGATTTCGGAGTCGCCAACCATGTTGATAATTTCGGGAGAGAAAGGGTGGAATTCAAAGTCGTCGAGGGTCAACATAGGCACATCGCAGTCATCATCCTTGACACGCATCGGGCGCCTCATTCCTAGAGCTATCAACCGGTCGCGCGTGTACGTGCTCCACCAGATACGCTTCCACATCCGCTGGCGCCGAAGTCCCATGCGAGAATTTCCGGGATCACGGTGCAAACCGATCGTATGTGCGAGAGAGAGGCTGACACCCATCCAATGCCACGTGTCCTTTTGATCATCGGGTGTTTCGTACCAGTAGGTCATCAAAAGCAAGGATTGAACCAGCGAAATCCGATCCACCTCATAATCGAAGTCGTACAATAACCTGGCGCGCTGGAAGAATTGTTTGCGTGCAGCCTTGCGAGTCGGGTAGCCCGCGGCGTGTAGATGTTTGAGATCAATGAACGCCGTTCCTGCGAACATCACCGCCTGGAAAAGCAACAGACTCATGCGACGAATTCCGTCGTTCTGCACGATTGTCTGGAGGAAGTCCTCCAGGTCTAGGAGAGGCATGTACGTGTGGACGTAGTGGATGTAAGCTTTCAGCAACTCGTTTCGCAGTGCCACGTCGGGCACCGTCAAGGCGCCCTTCATTGCCAGATAGTCGATGTCCTCTCTCTGTAGGCGAGGTGGCAGTCCCCTGATGTAGTCCGGGAGCACAATGCCTCCGGAGCGATCACTGACAAAGGAGGGATCCAACAGCTGCTGGATCTGCGAGGTCACATGGTGGAGCGGCATAGTGGCCGGCACGGCCGGGTTTGGCGCCATTCTTCTTCGATAGCGCTCGCCCGAGCCAATTCTGCTGGCCTGGTTTTGATCTGCGCGGTACCCGGGTTAATAAACACCGACATGGAGAACCAAGCACTAGGGGAAATACGCACACAACAAATGCGGCATGTGCTGTCCATGGTCCAGGTCAACGGACCGTTGCGACGGCGAGGCGGGAGCAACGTCCGAGAGTCCATGGCTCTCGCTGAGTCTCCTGAGAAAACTGCCACCATCTTCCGACACCTCGGCGGGTGATTGACCGAGTTGTTGGGTGGTACTGTCCATCTCAACGCGCGATTTCCTGAAACACCGAGAAGATTAGCGCGCAGCTCCAGGCTGCAAGGGGCTGTCGAGGGCGACGAACTTTCTCCGTTTGCTCTCGGTCACGACACATTCCACTTGATCCAGGCGGCAATTCGTGCATGGTGAACCATTCTCGACGACGTCGCAGCGGACTTTGCGGGCCCGACAGCAACAACATGCCTTGGACGCCCGTCGTTTTACCGGACGGGAATTAGCAGCGAGGCCGGCCGTTGACGATTTGCGTTTCCCCTTGGATTCCGTTTCCACCGTATTAATTGAGGCCGATGCCGGGGTTGACGAAGTAGTAAGATCAGTCATTGTGACGAGTTGAGAACGGTGAGTTTGAATTGGGTCATTCGTCGTTGAAGAAATTGGGGGTATATAGGTACTATCCTATGAAGAGTTCGGGGTATATTGAAGAAAAGATGGAGTGGGAAAGAAGAGAAGGGGGGAAAAAAAATGGATTAAAGATGGAGGCAAGAGTGGAGAGTGTCTTTTTTTGAGTCTTTTTTTTTTTTTAACCCTTCCGCCAAAAGGATAAGATAGGGTATTAGAGGGCGAAGGAAAGAGTATAGATGTGAATCTTCAGTTTCTTTTCTTTTCTTTTTTTTTTTTCTTTAACAAGATCACGCCCACTACCAATGAATTTCGTCCCAAGGACGAAAAGCCAAGCGAGGGCCGGGGCCGGGGAGAAGCAATGGTTAAATAAACGCGCGACCCCTCCGTGAATCCTCAGTCAGGAGGCGTGTGGGTGTTGGGGATGATGATGAGCCCCGGATCCACTCGTCAAGGTTGCCTCCCCCAGACCATCCAGCAAATAACCATGGCGAAAGAGGGGAGCGCCAGCAGTGGACACTGGACAAGTATTATTTCCCTCAAAAAGGTCTAGGGAGCGGGCCAAGTTCGGCGGGGGGACGGACAGACTATCAGATTAGGCCAGTCGCACGTCGATGCTTGCTGGATCCCTCCCCACCGGCACAAGGTACCGGTCGGTATCCACTGTCGAATGAATTGATTTATGACAATTACTATTACTCTAATTATTATCTCTTTGTATCCTCAGCTGTGTCTTGTGCATACTTTTTCATTTTCACTCCCGTTCTTCAAGAAGCCGACCAAGCCCTGGAAAAAGTCAGTGACTAAGGCGGCCTCCTGCGGTAAGTTTCGGTGGAGTCCCTCTAGTGCCTTCTGACCGACGCTATGCCCGACCCGGGATGGACATCCTGACTAAGGAAACCCACCGGCACGAGCAGCGTCCAGTGTCACCGCCATGATTTGTTTCGGCCCGGTCACGTTACTGCGCCTGGCCACCACCGGAGGACCCCGGGAACCAATCACCGCCCCGGTCATTTGGTCAGTTGGCCGCCAGCTCTGGTTTAGCCCGGTTTCTGCAGGCGACATTCCCCATTCCATTTCTTGTTTCGAAGATGCGTCATTAAACTTACCTGAAAATAGATGTAAAAATAAAAATAAAAATAAGAAGAATTAAATCGAATTAAAATCAAATTGAAATCAAATTGAAACAAACACAAACCATCAAAGGGTACCCCGGTATACCGTCGACTCTGACCCGTTAGCTTGCATCCCGTGACACATGATTGCGACGCTGAGAACAGCCACCTTATGTCCTTGGATCTCAGATAGATGAAGTCCTTCATGTAGCAGCTGTGGCGTAGAAGAACGATACAGTCGATGATACCGAGGCTGGGGCCGCACAGGTAAGGTACCTGACTATGATTATACAAGAATGCCGACTGCCATGAACCGAGGCTCGCACCGATTACTCGGTTGAGCGAATCCGATCCAGGGATTGGATATCGACTCCAAGTCCCAAGGTTGATCACATCTGAATGCCGGCAGTTATGAATCTATGAACCTGTATGTATAAATTATACACCGAGTTTTGCGGTAGGGAGCTTGACATGGACACCGTACACCGCTCACATGCACAGACGCCGAGCCCAAAACCGGTTGGTTTACTGTTCTGACATTTGAGACTTTGATACTAGCGAGTAAAAAGCGGAGCTGTCTGGATTATAGAATTGAGTAATCAGTGATAACATGGGTGAACTCATAATAATCAATAGTGGCTCCTGAAGATCATCGGTGCCGTTCTATTTTGTCTCTGTTCGCTTCTGCCCAGGGTCTCGAAGTCTTCGACAGTCTGGCGTATTGTGTATAGTAGCCGCCTAACCGGCACGTCGTACGTACCCAATGGGGCACGACTCTCCGTGAGCTGCCTATTTGGGAATCGCAGGCAGCTGCACCGTGCAAAGACTAAAGCCCTTACTCGATGCCAGTTGCACGCAGCACATTATTATCATATTGTAATACTAATCTGGAGACACTACTACTAGACACTCAGTCTCATGTAAAAATAGCACCTGTTAACCGGAAGACCGTACTGAGTAGTAGATTTTATAAATCAGAACTCCCGGAGCATCCACAGAATCGATTGATTCGCCCGGGGCCGCCGACTAGTATGTCAGAAAAACACGAAAAAAATCTCCCGAGCAACGCTAAACAAAAAAGGGCTGCATTTTTAGACCCTGTTGTGAATCCTTATGGGGGACCGGCTAGGGAGAAAATTTTTTTTTTTTTTTTTTTTTTTTAAATAAAACAAGGGAAGAGCAAAATGTTGAAAAAGTAAAAAGGGCCGGGTGGAGCTGTCAGAAGCTCATCATTCATAAGCCATGAACGTGACTTTTCAAGTTTCTAACTTCTGTGGACTGTGGAGTGCCCGTGGACGGAGTTTTACTCCGTCGGGCCACCTCTGGCGGAGATGTAGTATTCCGTCGAGACGTAGATTTGCGACAGGAAAGCAAGGCAAGCACATTCTTGAGAGTATTGAGTCCACTACGGTGTATATATTTCACTGTACAGTGTATGTTCAATGTTGACTCTCTTCTCCCTTGCACATCGGGCAGGTCTTTCCCCCACGTGATACTTGACTCCTTTGGTATGCGACTGCGAGTGAGTGCCGATATACGGAACCTGCCCTGATTTTATTTTATCAGCCACTTCGAGGCGATGCAGGGAATGAACTCCGTAGGGCATCCCACAAGGCAGAGGGATCCAATCAGCAGAGAGACATTGTGGTATGCAATGAGCCGGGCTCGAGAAAATAGTCAGGTGCAGCTGACAGATGGAAAGGCGGGAGAAATGATTAACCCTTGACAGGGCTTGAATGCTGAATGCATCTAGACTGGCGGCAGAGGGAAAAGTAGCGAAGATCGGAGGTTGCAAGGAAGAGTTGGTCTGGAACGGACCCAGGAGGGGGAGGAACGGGCGATGCAGGGTGTCGTCATCAAGGATCCTCTCCAAGCTGTCAGCTCTCCGGATGGCATGCAGTTAACTCAACCAACAATTGAGCCATCCATCCCCGAGCAACCGGATCCTGGTGGAAAACCTTTGGTGCATCATGGATTGGCAATTGCATTATTGCAGAGTCACGAGCCAAACCTCTCCGATCACCACGAGGGAATTTCAGCTGGCAGCCAATAAACCGGGGGGCCTGCGGATACCCATGTGGGACTAGTCTCGTCCATTCAAAAAATCGGGTTTCGACTGAGAAAGAGAGAAACCGGATCCGCCGCAGTGCCGAAAATCGCAAGAATCCTCCCCCTCTTCTGCCTCTTTCGTTTTGAGCTTTTAGTTCTTGCTCAGTAGCTCCCAGTTCCCCCGTATTTTGTAAGCCGAAAATCCTGGAACAACCTTGGCGGCCCAACGGAGTCATCGCCAAGATATCGACTCCATACTGGACTCCGTCGATAGAACCTGGGGTATGGGGAATCGCGGAGTCAGGAGTATTCACCGGTCACCCAGACCAACGGACCAGGGCGCTCCGTATGAACCACGAGTCCACGACCTGCCTGGTCTGAGAGTCCGACACCCACCGATTTCTGCGTTAACAGAATAATCCCTGAATCGGACTTGTTGCCGTGCTCGGGGACCGGTCACCCCCACGTTCCTCTGCGGGAACCCGACTACCTTAGCTACAGAGTAGATCGCTCACCCTCCGCCAAATTTCACGACACGAGAGGGAAAGATAGGGGTCTGTGCTTGACCCCTCCCCCTCCCCCTCCCCCGCATGGATGATTTCCAGACAAGTGCCCTGTGAGTAGCTACGAAGGATGCTATGGTCAAGTACTCCACAATCTTCCGCAATCTGTTACAAGTCGGCAGGATATACTACTATAACCTATATCGAATCGCATTCATTATTTTCAGATCCCACCCGATAAACCGTGGGTTCCCTCAAATCAATTTACATCAAACGCCGCCTCCGTCGGGATATCAAAGACCAAAAGCAAGCAGAAATAAATACATAATCACATAAAAACAACCAAATGAACTCGTAGACCTCAGAGACCAGGCGTCAGTTTGTTCGTGAGGGGCATATGCATGGATTGCCTAGGATGCACATCGTGATGAGACAGAGCGGGTTAGATGCCACCACGACCCATGCGCTCGATGGAGCCCATGATGCCGCTGCGACCCGGCGTGAAGACGGCAATTCCCGATTTTCCTCCGCTATTAACTCGACCGTGACGGCTGCCTGGTGCTGCGACCTTGGGGATCTTCTTCTCGCCGGAGCCGGACCCGGTGCTTGGAGGCCGGATGCCGCCCAAGACGCTGGAGCCGCTACGGCCCAGGCTTCGCTTGAAGTCCTCCGAGCCGGTAGCCTCCGTTGAGGCCAGCCCCGGCTGATCATCTTCTTGCGGCGCCGGGGATTTGGACGAAGGCTGGTTTTGCTGGATTGCGAGCCACTCATCGACGGCTGCCACGAGCTCGCCCTTCTCGGCCCTTTCCAGCTCAAGTTCGCTGTGCAGCCGTGCGCCGTCATCCTTGAGGGCTGCCATTTCTTGTTGCAACCCCTGGATTTGAGCCTGGAGGATTCGCTTTTCCGCTTCGTGCTCCTCGTTCTCGTGGGCCAGAGTGTTGGGGGTGGCACTGGGACGTGACGTATCCGATAGTGCTGCATCTCGTTCCTTCCTCAAGCGCTCGTTCTCTTCGTTGACAGTCTTCAACTTGTCCTCGGCTGCACGCACTCGCTTGTCCCACCGCGCCTCGTAACTCTTCTTCAGCGCGCCGACCTTCGCCTCGTGCTTCTTCTTGTAGACGACGTGGAGCTCTGCTGCCATCTTCTCAACGGCATCTTGAACTTCCCTTGCAGTCTCCTCCGCCGTCTTGGTGTGGGAAGCACCTTGAGGGGCATCGCTGGACATCGAGCTGTGGGTCGCACTCAATTGAGTCTCCAATTCAACCATTCGGCTCTCCAGCTGTTCTTTATCCTTCTCCGCTTCCTCCACCCTCTTGATCAACTGCTCCCTTTCTTGTTCCCCTTCCACGATTTCGGCCTTGACCGACTGCAAAACGTTGTTCATTTCTTGACCCCTTCGCTGCCATTCGACCTGCTCGATCTCAAGTGCTTCCTTGCCGGCGGCCTCGTTGCGCACTTCTTCCAATGCCTCGCCAACTCGTCGTTCGGCATCCGCAACGGCCTGCTTAAGGCTGGATACTTCTGCTTCTCTCCCGCTCAGCGTCGCCCTGAGGGAGGAAATCTCTGAGAGGAAACTAGATTTCAAGGACTCCAGCTCTCGAGGAGTGACGGTGGGAATGGATCGAGGGGTCGGAGCGGCGGGAATGTCGAAGTCTAGCAGCGATACTTTAGGTGAGCCTCTGATCGGCTCCTGGACGACTCTCAAGGGTGAGTGCCGCGATGGAGAGTATCTCTCATTTTGCATGCTGTAGCGCTTCCTTGGGAAAAAGGTTTGCTGATCTGTCAAGTCGAGTAAATTCGGGGTTTCATGGACACCACCCTCCGCCCGATGTTCTCTCCTATTTGGTGCTGGCGATCCGATTGGGGAGCTCATGTCAAGGAGTGCGCCTTTCCTGGGAGATTTCCGAGCCACGGATGGGGTGCTTGGATTAGGATCCCGAGTCTCGGTCTCGTCGGCTTTGCTTGGGCTACCTGGAAGAGGCCGTGTAGCTTTGAGTGGGGAGTCCCCACGCAGATTTGCAAACGATGTCATGTCGGCATTGGGGACTGCGGAGAAGGTGCTGAGGCAGGTATCATCCATGAAATCATGAGAATCTTCAACCATCGAGTCATCTGCGCGGGGCAAGGATTCATTTTCTTTTTCGTTTGAAATGCTGTCGTTGTTGCTCTCACGAAGGAAAGTGCTCATTCCCTCATTATTCTTCTCTTCCATCATGCTATTGGGCTCCGCACCTCGAGGACTTGTCTGTTCAGGGCTGAAACTGGAGTCCTCGTCGGCGTAGACATTGATGTCTGGTACCTCCTCCCACCGACTGGCACTCTTCCTGAACCTCCCTTCCAAATCCTCCTCTTCGGCCTGGTCTTCCGGTCCGTACTCAAAGGAACGTTTGCGCGGAGTATTCGAGCGTTCGTTCACGCCGAGGGCCGATTGTCGTTTGATGGGGAAATCCACCGTGCAGTCTCTACCATGTTCTATGAAAGGCGAGCTAGACGCTAGCTCCGGAAAGTCATCATCCAAATCATCTTCTTCCCTGTTCAGTCCCTGCGACTCGCGCGAGGGTGTAAAGCTCAGGTTGTCCTGGTTGCCGACGTTCGCGTCATCCGCCATTTTCATAGGGCTCGAAGGCGCATTCTCAAAGCCACCGGCTTGAACGATATCCTTGTGGTCAGCGGCCGTTCCCGTAATCTGATCACCGGCGCTTGGTGAAAAGGATCGCGAGTTTTGATGCGCCGGTGTTAAGGGGGAGAGGGGTGTGGGCATGATAAGGAGCGACGTAGAAGACGACGGTAGTGGAAAAGAACAAGAGGAAACAAGAGGTTTTTATATCGTAGAAAATCACAGACCAGCCAACCCAGATAAGTGCAGGATTGGAACAGGCCAGAATTGGGTGAAGGTCAAGATGATGGAGGATGGAAGGCAACAAGTACCCGCCGAGTTGATTATTTTCATCTGTTGCCGTTGCCGGGATGGGGGGAGTAAACAAAGCTAGCCCTATCTGGGCCTAGCGTTGATGCATGTAAGGGCGGTGCACTATGGCAATATGTTCGGCCCTTCACCGCTTACTGAGTAGGCGAGAGCCACTTTACGGTGTACATCCCGATTGTTTTCTAGGCCTTTGGAAAGAAATTAAAAAGAAAATCCGAAATTTTCATAAATACAGTGCAATGATCATATAAAGCGCCTAGAACTCCATGCAAATGTTCAAATAAGCTTGACAAAAAGGAACAGCAAAAGTTTAAATGCTCCCAACCTGTTTGGTTGCGCTACAAAACTTTCCGGTATAGGCTGGTCAGGGTCATCGCGATGACTTCTTGCTTCAAAATTTACAACCAGTGATGGGTTATTCCGTATTTTTTCTTTTCAAATATCCCTCGTGGTGGGATCATTTTCCGTCACAATGATATGAACGGTCTCCTTCCATGGCTGCGTCTCATTGGGAATGTAGTGACAACGACCAGCCGGTTGTACAGTCGCAATGGCATACTTCTTTTGTTCGATAAACCATACCTGCACGGCGCCAATTATGGCAACGAGAGTGCTCGCCCACCACGCCAGTGCAGTGCAGCCGACTTTGGATCCGGTACTATACAGGTAGCCAGCGACGGGAGGGGCGATGGTGCGCGAGGCAGCGCCGGCGGATGCAGAAAGACCATTGAGCCTTCCCAAAACAGAATCGGAAGGGCTAGCTTGCTTGATGAGGATCAGCAAGACGGGGTAGTCAATGATCGAAAGGACGTTGCGAAGGGCTAAGCACGTATAGATGCCGACGAACAAGATCTTGTGGGGAAGGTATATTAAAAATGGGACAATGAAATAAGTCAAGGGATGGAGGATGGTCACGACCACGAATAGTCTCCACACCCCCAAATAGTGAGCCAGAGTCGGGAAAACCACACTCTGAATGAAGAGTGCGATAATACCGTCCGTGGACATGATCAGGCCAACAGTTGATGTAGATAGGCCAACTCCGCCGGGGAAGCTGAGAGCCGAAGTGCCCAGAGTGGAGACTTCGGTAACTCTTTTGTCCTGAAGAAAAATGGGCAACAAATGATCGAAAGTCATTGAATGGTATGTGAAAATGGCCAACGCAACTATGAGCATAGTAACCCGCCATGTGAAGATGCTTTGTTTTGTGGGCGCTTCTTCCGACTTCGAACCATCCGCATGCACCATCAAATCCTCGTTCTGATGAAGTCGGACTTGATTAAAAGTCCCATAAGATTCAACCCGCAGGTCGGCACCGGCATTGGCCGTGGCACCGGCAGTTACCAGAAGAGGATGTTCAGCAGCCAAGTCATCATTCATGTCCCTGCCGAGATCCCACGGTTGCATGTCGGGGTGCGTTTCTTGTAAGAATAGCCAGCTGAATAGCATACTGCAGAGAAGTAAGATAGAACAAACGACATTCGGCAATAGGTAAGGATAAATGCCAAAGAGGCCGTCGGGAGAGAACAAGGAGGGATAACCTTCGGCGGGTCTCGCTAGTAAGCCTCCAATAGCTGCCGCCAGAATACGCCATTAACATATCTTCTCATGCTGCCACTAATACCCGCAGAGGGTTTAAGAACGTACCTGGTCCCATGATTGTCCCAATTGACCAAACAAACGGCATCACGGCGTAGGCGCGAGCTATACCCACCAAGTCTCTGATTTAGCCGGGTCCAATCCACCAAACGAGAAAAGAAGGAAGGAGAAGTGTTCTTACGTTCATGCTCAGGTCGTTTGACCAATTCACCAACCATGGTCTGGATAACACCGATGTTTCCGTTTAGGATGCCTCCTAGCGCCCTTCCGAATAGAGCAACCCAAAAGTTCGGCGCGAGCCCAACGATGAGAAGGGAGAGCACGGTGCCAAAGCATCCGGACAGAAGCACGGGCTTGCGGCCGATGCGATCGGATAGGCCTCCCCAGATCATACCAGTGAGAGCTTCGGCAAGCGAAAAGGCGGAGATAAGGATACCGGCGTAAAAGGATGCATTTTCACCATCAGCCACGTGGAAGTCCTTGACCATCACCCAGGAGTATGGGAAGATCGAAGTTAAAGCGATTGGCTCCGCAACGCGACATATTGCTGAAGAGGAAGAGGATCAGCATTTCCACCCGAAAGATGAGTTGTGAGGCTCAGCGTACCTAGAAGAAAGAGCTGGGTAGTGGGAAATTGATCGTTCGAGGCGGTTGGTCTTTCCTGCGGTGTCAATACCATCTTCTTCAGAATCATCCAAGATTCTTACGGCAAGTCCTCCTCAATGCAACAGATCGCCGGCAAATCCCCTCCTTCTTTTTCTCCTTGTCTAAGTGTCTTGCTTTTCTTAGACCCCCTTGATGTTTTTTTCCAACTTCTTGTTTCCCAAGTTTCCACTTTTTTTTGTCTTGAGCTCGGCTCCCTGTACCGAACACCACACTTTTCTGACTTTTGGCCCCTTTTCTTCAAGCAACTAAACTTCACCGGGTTGAAAGGCAATAAGATCGGCGGAGTGAGTGCGATATTTAGCGAACAGCAAAGAGAGTGAAGTTGTTTTGTGAACTAAGAATATTTCGAAAAAGAGGCGATTTCATTCGAGGGATAATGATAGTAGAGAGTGGCAGGGGTGAAGTTAAGAGATAAGTTGAAGCTGGAGAGTTGAACGGGAGCGGAGGTAAGGAAAAAAAAAAGGGCACCTGACAGATGGTTGCATTAGTTCCACGGCCAAGGTGGCAACGAATCCATGGAAATCTCTTCATTTCCCACCCCTCTCTCCTTATGCTTTTACAGTAAAGGGAAAGGAAAAAAATTGACTCGGCGAATTTGATTTCCCGTCCATACCTTCCAAGCCACCCTACCTATTTTTTGGGCAAAGAAAAAAAAAAAAAGAAAAGAAAAGAAAAGAAAGCAACGGCGGCGAGGGATTGGGTTACTCCCCTGCCCAGAGTTGCTATTACTACAGTACGTACTACATACGGTGCAGGGTAGTCGGCTCAAGTACCATGGTCCCGTGCGGCATGGCAGGACAAGGATGCGACGGGGACTGATTCATTCAAGTAGTGCACTGTAGGTGCTGTAGATAGATGCCTTACTGAGGACCCGGAATGATCGACCGGACCCTCGAGGCTAACGTAGAAGAGGCTTAGTGCGTCAGATTGGGCGGTGGGCCCTGCACTTGACAGGGCGATCCGCCAATAGTTAATGGCCAGGATCCCGATCAGCCCTCGACGACTGTGGAGGCCATCGAGCTAATTTGAAGTTCTGAACACTTCCAACCCCATCGTGGATTCATACTCATACCCTCTCTACCGTACCGGCGTGAATTGGCTTCTTGTCACGTTGAACTACCGAGCCTCGGTGTGATCGGCTGGTCCTTTTATGCTCCCTACCAACATCCCCGCCCCCCACTGGCCAATCCGTTTGAAACCTACGGAGTACACCCGTTTCTGACGCTATCTTGAATGCAAAATGCATGTAATATAAACAGCTTCGGAAGATCTATACATACGTGAAAGAATCCCGTCGGGCTCGACCCTCCCGTAGCATTCTGTGCTACTGGCCAACGTTCTCGGAAACCGGTATGTAAGACCGCCGCTCTCTCGCTTTCTGCAAATATTCCAGCAAGTCAGCCGGGGATGACGAATCAAAGAGTCGGGAAAATCATAGATACGTGCCTCGAGGTATTTCTCCACCCACGGCTTGAAAACGGCCCAGGCAAGGAGCCCGCTGGTGGCGATGATGAAGATGAAAACTATCGCTTCGTCTTTTCGCGAGTCTCGCTCTGTGCATCGAAACAGATATTAGCTATTATTGGACCAGTCCCGGAGCCGGAAATCGGCACTCAAGATTGCAAGGACAACGGTAGAAACGGTCGAGCGTACGGAAACACGTGGTGAATACATCCTCCTCTCTCGCGCCTTTGCAGGTGGGCAAGTTATATCCCAAGCAAAACTTTCGATTGCAGTCATTGCAACTTAGGGAGCTGGCTCGGGTATCCAAAACGTTGACAAGATCGTCGGAGGGAGTTCTGCGACCGAGAGAATGGAACATGCCATCGATCGATGTGGACTCTGGCTTGACGGGGTCAAGTGGAATGATGGTGCTGTTGGAGAAACAGGTACATTTGCAGAAGGATGCGGGAGCTATTTTCAACAGGACACATGTTAGCGCGATGTGCATATAGTTGCAATATCTGGATGATGATACCCGGTCGCAAACCGGTCACTCACAGGAGGCTAATGCGAGCGATGCGCAGGAGGAAAATGCGACCCAAAGAAGGATAACACGTAGGTAGGCATTTCTAAACATGACTGCTGGGGCGGCCCAGAATGAAGGGGCAGATGTGTACCCCTCCTGCTGGTTCTGAATGGCTTGGGATGGTTCTTGTTCGCAGTGGTCGATTGATCAGTGCCGACGGAGCACAAAGCGGCGGCCTTTTCCCCGGAGTTTCAGCATCACGTGACACAATACAAACGTACCTCATACTCCGACCACTACCTACAAAGTTGGGAGCAGTTTTGCGTTCTTTTCCTCCATTGTCTGTGGAGTTTCATATCTTCTTCGTTTAGAGGCCCCTATCTATATATACCCGTCGAGCAATACGCAGGACCAAGCGTGTAATACTGAGATTACGAGAGGCAAAGTCGTGCTGGAAATACATTATTATGGCAGATATCTTTTGAATGCTGGCATGGCATAGATTTAAGATTTGCCCCTCATCCCCTTTTTCCTGTTCTCTCGCTGTCTCTGCTCCTTGGCGACGTCTCGCCGTCGTTTCTTCCAGGCACGGTTGTTGTCTCCACGGTTCTCCCAGAACCATTTCGTGAAATCAGACTCTTCCTTCGATGCGGCTCCGGTCTTCGGAACCGGAGTGGTGGTGGTGTACGGTTCATCATCCGTGTCCACGGGCTCGTCCTGATCCCGATTCCAGTTCACGGCCCGATTAAACAAGGCAGTATCAGGTGTTGGAGCGGCGCTCCTTAATCCTCGACTTTGCAAGTCGTTCTTCGTGAACGGCGTTTGCGGCGCAGCTGGTTCCTCCATCTCCTCTTCGGATTCTATATCATCCTGACCAAAGAAACTGAATTGCGCATTCGGCTCGGGTTGAGGTTCGGGTTCAGCCGAGCCTGGGGCAGGCCGTTTAAACAGCGCTTCTAGTGGGTGGACTTCTTGAGGGAGAGACTTCTCAGTCGCCTTGGCCAAAGTCTGGCTGCCATCTACCCATGCATCAGAGTCCGCGGGGCCGCCATTCTGGGTTTCGGCGGATGTTTCAGGTTTTGTCTGCACATCAATCTCATCACCACTGGAAGACGATTCTGAATCCGATGAGCTGGATGACATGCTCTCATCATCAGACGACGAAGCGCCGCTGGAGGAGGTCCAATCATCCGATTCATCAGATGCATCATTTTTGGGGGGAGCCTTCTTGGACTTGGACTCCCTGCTTGCCAGAGACGTGTTTGATCGGCCCTTCTGTTTAGCGCCGTCTATTTGCCCAGGCTTGTATTCGGCTTTTCTGATGTGGTCGCTGGCCTGTTCTTTGATATTCCCGGACTCGTCCACCCATCCCTTACCCTCTACGAAGGAAGATGTGGGTGCTGCCTCATCACCGGCCGACCGAAGGAAACTTGGGTGAGTAACCGTATTGGCGAATTCATGGACCACGGACTCCTGGGTAGACTTCTTTTTTTTCTTAGACTGCTTTTCTGGCTTTTCTTCGGCGGGGGAGTGTCGGTTGGGAGGGATGTTTGTCCGGAAAAGACATTCGGGTTTCTCAGTATATTTGGATTTGGCCTGGGACTTGGACGATTTCCGATCCTTCCCCTTCTTTTTTTCATCCTTGCGTCTTTCCCCCTTATGCTGTGTCGACTCGGTCCAGCCTCTCTTAACCTTGCGGTCCGACGGAATCTCATACCCATCTAACACATTGTCTTCGGACTTTCGCTTTTTCTGCTTTTTGTCGGAGGTAGATTTGCGATCGGACGCCGGGCCGTGGGCCTCAGTCTCGTCTCGAGATCTCTTATGTGACCGGGCTTCCTCCACGTTGAATTTTCGGCCTTTGAGAATCGATCCGTTCAACTTCTTTTTAACCTTATCCGCCTCCATTGCGGGTAGGGTCACGTAGCCGTAATTATTCTCCGGGTAAGTTGGGATGCAATGAAAGGAGACTTCAGTGGCTAAGGGTTGAACCGAGGCACCTAGCACGGAGGGTAGGAGATCCGGTGTGAAAGGGGTAATGTGAAGGCGTTTAGTAGTCTGAGCTTCGGTCGTCATTTGCGGCAATGAGAGGCAGTCAAACGGAGAGGTGAACTACCGATAAGCTCGAAAGACACCACACAAAGGGAGGAAGTGGAAGAGAAGAGGAAAGACAGAAGAATCAAATCAGTACATCCTAGCTCTGCAAGTCTATCGTTCGGATCAGGCTCGAATCAGTCAAAAATCGATATGCAAAATGCATCAACCGGGTTAAAGTAATAGATGGGGGGTTTTTTTTTTTTTTTTTTTGGCACCAAACCCGAATGGAGAGGTGTGGCTCAGCCGGGTTGACCAGCCACACCTGGTCTCGGTGGAACTGGGGTGCTTGAGCATTCAGGATGCTGCAGGCGCAGAGAGGCCTGCGTATGATGGTACCGGGCCATACCGTCTCACCAGGTATTCTACCGAGATAATAGGTAAGCATCTGTAGTTATTCCGTTCTCCGGGTATATACAGTACCGGTACAGTACATTCCAAGCATTTCCTGGGACTCCCCAGTTACCTTACCAAGTTACCTGGGTATCCCGTCCTCTCCAAGTGTCATACCTCTCTCTCCGTCGCTCCGTCTCTCCTCTCTTCTGCCTTCTTCCCCCTCTCTCTCTCTCTCTCCCTTCTTCCCTTCTCTTCCCTCCTCCCTATCTTCCTAATCTCCCATTCCCTTTTGGACCCTCCTCTTGTCAACTTTTTGTCATTACCTTTGTAAACAATTCTATCTCCTTCAGATTACCCAACGTACATACGACAACTCCCTCCCATATCCCATCTCATTCGATCCGTCGACTGGGCTATCTATCCAGTATCCCTATCGCCGGCCCATTTCCTGCCTATGGCCTCCACCCGCGGTTAACTAAAGCCCGCATTCTGATCTCATCGCCGCTCCCTGCAGACCAACCAGCGTCGTGTCGCTCACATGGCCACATTGAATTTATTATTGTCACCTATTCACCGTCCCATTTTCGCTCCCCGCTTTAGCAACTGAGGGTCCTTTTTAGCTTACTCTCCACTCCGACCCTGGTTGCTTGGCTGATATTCTCCGCCGGGCTAACTCCCGATCTTGGGTGCCCTTCTTCCTGGTCAACTTTCCACTCCACTCCTCTACCTCACTCTCCTGTCCGCCTTTTTTTATTTCTACACAACGGACATTCGGCCTTCTCAGCGGCCGTCCTCTCGTTTGTCAATTGTTTTTGCCTATCTAGTTCCCCCCCCCCCCACTTTCCCTTATTGTAACCTTCAACCTCCCCTTTCCCATTCTCGGGCGAGATGGGTAACTCGCAAACGAAAGAGAGCCGACCGTCTCTCGCCGCGAATCGCCGAAGTCATCAATGGGGCTCGACAAGTGGCCATGGGAGATCGCCTTACGGTGAGAGGTATCATGCCGAGGGTTCAAGATCAACGCGAGGCAGCAGGCCTGATCTCTCCATCCTCGGAATCGGCGGAAGCTCGGAGCGCGACGTGGCGACACTCGAACATCGACGAGAGACCAGACAGGAACGGGAGGCTCGCCGGCTAGAGCGAGAGCGGGTCGCTAGAGTCAAGGAACGGGAACGTAGTATGAGAGAAGAGCACGTGGATGGGGGTTATTTGGTGACGCAAGGTGTCTACACGGGCACGGAGGATTTCAACAAAGCCGTTGTCCGGCAACTCATGGTAACTTGAGCCCCATCACTTAAAGCCCGTACGACCAATGCTGACCGTTGAACGCAGATCGAACGACGGCTTGCCCCTTTCTGGCGAGGACTCAACGACTTCTCCGATTCATGGACCGAACATCAGTTGATGGCGGCGGCGCGCGATCTTCCCATTCCTCCGCCCGACGAGATCCCTCCCGAATTGGAATATAAGAACCCTCCTAAGTCTACCGAGGATACCAAAGAGTCAACGGATTCTCAAGCTATCCAGCATCTAACTGTACCAATAACATCGAGATCACAGTCTTATGGGTCTGATGCATCCCAGTCGTCCAACCCAGCCCAGTCTTTACCGTCTTCGTCACCACTTGCCTCCGGCACGTCGAGTTCACCGCTGTTTCGGACAAGGGCAAAAACTCTCGCATCTCTTACCACGTCAAAACACAGTTCCCAGGCTGACCCTGGTCCCCGGGAACTTCAGCTTCCTCGAGACCCATTTGTCAACGGACAGCCCATCGAGGCGTACCTTTACAAAGATGCGGCAGAATGCCCCATTTGCTTCTTGTACTATCCACCCTATCTCAATCGCACGAGGTGTTGCGACCAGCCTATCTGTTCCGAATGTTTCGTTCAAATCAAGCGCCCCGACCCCCATCCGCCGGAGCATGGGGATGCCGACCCGAATGCTGCCCCGGCCGAAACTTCCGAGGGCGACCGTGCCGAGAGCCAAGACTGTCAGCTCGTCTCGGAACCTGCAGCCTGTCCCTTCTGCGTGCAGCCGGAATTCGGGGTGACATATGCACCTCCATCCTTCCGCAGGGGGTTGTCATATGCTTCTGACCCGATTTCGCGCCCTAACTTCGCATCCCCTCTATCATCGACGTCTTCTCTTTCCTCCGGAAATGCTGCGGCTGTCGTGGGCCGTCGACGCGCTACCTCGCTGTCTGCCAGTGATCCCACCGTGATCACGACCGACAAGGTTCGACCTGACTGGGCCCAGAAGCTGGCAAACGCTCGAGCACACGCCGCACGCAGGTCGGCGGCGGCCACTGCTCTGCACACTGCAGCGTACCTGGTGAATACAAACCCAAATGGGAGCGAGTCGCGAAACTTCAGTCTCGGGCGACGGGGGCGACGAGCACCGGACGCGCCCAGCGGCTCGGGTCGCACGGGCTCTCCAGCCCTACAGGCCTTTACCTTTCTAACTGACCGCCGCGGTACCGGGAACGACACTGACTCGAATGAGGAGGCATCTGGTCCTGTTGCACCGCCGCGAAACAGCTCACGACGGAATCGCATCGATGATTTGGAGGAAATGATGATGATGGAGGCGATTCGGCTGAGTCTAGCTAGCGAGGACGAACGCCGCAAGAGAGAGGAGAAGGAAATCAGGAAGGAGAGTAAGAGACGGGAGAAGGAAGCTAAAAAAGCAGAGAAGGTGGCGCGAAAAACTGGAATCTACAGTAACAATGCGAGCAGCTCCGCTCTGGACGTGCCTACAGGGCTGGGAAGGGTGATCAGCAGTTCTTCGTCCATTGTCGGCGAAGAAGCCACCTCCGGAGGCAAGGGTAAGGAAGTGGAGCGCATGTCCAATGAACCGACGGGTGCTACCTCCACCTGGCCTGTCACTGTTACCGACGGCTCAAATCATACGCATGCTTCATCGGTTAATGCGGAAGGTCAGCCTCCGGCCGTGCAGCCCTCGCCCCGGGAGCCGACGAGGCCGTCTCATTTACGACACGTTTCTAGCGCCTCCTCGTTCTCTTCGCTCGTCGAGTCTATGTCGGAGGACCACGCAGGGGCCAGCGATGCAAACAACTCGACATCCGAGCCAATGTTCAATTTTCGAAGTCTGGCCGCGGTGATCGGGGATGAGGAAAAGAAGGAGAAATCCGAATCCGCCGAACATGTGGAAGACACTTCTTCAAAACCGACCGCGGAAGGATCGACCTCGCACGTCTCCGCACTGACCCCATCGCAGCCGAAGGAGGACCGTCCAGTGTCGGCATCAGAGAAGGTGGAACCGGAGGCGACTGTGGAGGAGAACGACGAGCATTTGGTTTCCAAGGAGCTTGAGACCCGCTCGGTCGAGGTTACGGGCACCGCAGGCAACACCGAGGCGAAGTCGTGATGCGATAACGCCCAGGGAATGCAGAGTAAGGCGACGTAGCAGGGCGGACGTCTCGGTTTTATGTTTTTGTTGATCTTTCTACCTTTTGTTTGTTTGTTTGTTTTGTTTTTTTTTCTTTCTTTCTTTTTTTCTTGCGGTCTGGAATTGCGTGCATCTGGATGGGAACGGCGACGATGGATGCGTTCACTCACTTTTGACAAATTCGTTCTGTTACTGCATTTTCATGTTCATTTTCATTCGTATTCGCATGGCGGGACCGGAATTTTCTTTTTCTATATACATACATTGTCATAGATTTTTCCTTTGTTTTGCCCTCTTGCTCTCATGTGCATGTTTGTCGGCAAGGATGAGCGGCCAGAATGAGTTCCTCTGTCTGTTGGAGATCAAATTGGCGTTGGCTACGAGATAAGGGATCCAGGATGATAGATCTTTGGAAATATTACTTCCTCCTGTGTACTGTGGACTGTCATTTCACGATGATCCTGTCAACTTTCCCTGGCTGGCATGTTTCAGATCGGGTTTCAGAGATCCACCGCCAGGGTCAATTTGATTTGGTGGGATCGGAGAATTGGAAATATCGATCTCTGATAGCGATCGCCATGCATGATGCAACCGGTCCTCGCCCGAAGTACATGTACAGAGTACACTTACTCAGGACTTCCTCCCTGTCTGGTAGAGAGAGAAATGTCAGTCGGTCATTCCTCGGATAGATCCTGGTCCTGATATTTCACCTTCCTCATTTCTTCCTGGTCCCCACTGGATAAAATGAATTGAATCTTGATTGTGTCCGGGATCCGGATCGACCCCGTTCCAAGTTTTCTTGGTCCCAATTGTGGATCGCCTTAACTTTTCTCTTTCTCTCTCTCTCTCTCTTTTTTTTCTCTTTTTTTTTTCTCTTTTTTTTTTTTTTTTTGTTTGGTTTCCCCTGTATCTACTGGACTAGGTCACTCCTAAGCATTCTAGCGCGCCCCCGGTGGCCCTGGAACTTTTTTTCTTCTCTTCTTTTCTCTCTCTCAACCACTCTTTTATCGTTTTCATCCTCGCCCTCATTCTTGCCTTCCCGCACTCATTTACAGACACTCTTTTTGATACTCGATTGGCGTTGACCCAGAGTTGTCGGCTAACGAACCATCCAGTCGGCCCATTTATTTCTCCAGGCTCATAATCCTCCGCCTGAATGTTGACATCCTTTTCCCCCGCCTGTCTCTCTCTGTCTCATTAATTCGATTTGAATCATCCTTCGAGTACTGCGCTGGACGTATATTATCCTTTCATTTATAAGCCGGAACCAGAAGACTAGGCTGTCGCAACGACAACAACGATAACGACCAGAGAAATCGAGATGCCGATCCTCGATAAGGAGAACCGCCCCCGCGGCCTGCGGATGCCGTCGCTTTCCGCCATCAAAGGAGGACTCAGGAAGCAACAGTCCTCGGAACCCTCGCCGTCAAAGGATTTTGAGCCGGTCCAGCTGCCTGCTGCTTCCTTGTATCCGACAGACACCGTGCCTGTGCTACCTTCCACCAAACCGCAGGAGAAAGAGTTGCCGCCCAACCCGACGGGACCGCCGTCGTTTCCTTCCCCCCCGGCCAGCTCGTCCCCTACCGTCAACACCAATGGTTACAACGACCGACCTCTTCCTCGCTTTCCTCAAGTTCCCGTCCCTAAACCCGAGGAACCGATCGCGCCAACTGTCCCGCAAGAAGCGTCGCCTCCTCTCGAAGAGCTGAAGTTTCCCGTTGCTTCCGGGTTAGATCGTCCTCAGGATGCTCCGGCCCAGCATAATTATATCCCATATCACGCTCCAGGTCCGAGCCCAGGGCAATCGGATGATACGGATGATCCGTTGGAAGACTTCATCCCGGAACCTGAGCCCGAGCCGGAAGTTGATGCGGTTGACGCACCCATCGAGCCGGTATCCAGCGAGGAGAACAACGGACCCTGGACGCCGCCGGATTACGAGCCCATTGCGGCACCGTTGAACAAGCTGCACTATGCGTGCTACCAGGGCCACCGGTCCATGCCGGCGGCTAACAACGCCTGGTACCCGGTGCCGTGTATGACCTGCCAGCGGTTCGACCGGGAAGTGCGATACCGATGCGTTTTCTGCTGCCTGCGCATCTGCGCCAACTGCTCGCAGACTATTCAGAAACTTCCCAATCGTTCGCTCAGTCAATTGATGGAAACCATCAATTCTCCAGAGTAATCTTCCACCGCTCCCTGCACAAGTAAGGATGACCCTTGGCTTTGCATTTGCACCTTATGATTTCTCTCTTGGGCGTTGATGGTTTTCTCATACTTTTTCTTCTTTGCCATGTTTTATTTCCCCCATACATACTGTTCGAATGGACTCATTTGCTTTCCCTTCTCTCTTTCATTTTATTGCCTCTTTTACCTTCTGGGGAATGATGTTTTTCTACATACCTTATGCCATCAATTGTATATACAACTATACAGCCCTAATATGCTCCTCTTGCCCATGATTCAATGCATGATGTACAACATTTCAAGGTTTTCTTTTCCTTTCCTTTTTCCCTAGTGCTGTAATATACATGGTGGTAGTTCATTAATCGTGATCCTCCTCGGTGATTCCGGGACATCCCTCCATCTCGTCGGTTTCGTAACGGCATTTGCACCAGAAACAGTAGCGGTGCTTCTGTCGAAGATGCTGCAATAAACGGGCCAGCCGCTCGCCGGGATCGAGTGCATTGAACTCGTCCAATTCAGGGTCTTCCTCTTCCAACTCTTGTTCCAGGATAGACGACAGTTCCGGATTCCCCGCAAGAGCCTGTTTGTCCTCTCGCTCAAGTGTGGGGTCGTCGTAAGTCGGTAATCGAGGATTCGGGAAGAATGAGGACGGGAGAGAGGAGTGTAGTAGATGACGCGCTTGCAGCGATCGCTCTCGTTCCTCTCGCTCCCGTATCAAGCCACGGTATAGAATATTGATCTGAGAGGTTGGCTTCACTGTCGTTTTGGGGCGGCCGGCGCCCTTTTTCTCCTTCGATTCCTCTGGTGGATTCTCGTCCGTTACGTCATCGTCCTGGCCGCACGAGTGTTCATGCATCGTAGGGGCGGAGCTTTCCTCATCTGCCTCAGCCTCGGTATCCAGTCGCTCGGCCACTTTCTGGGCTGCGTGCACTTGGGCTTCGGTGCGTCGCGTCTCCCGCTCCTGGCGCACGCGATCGCGATAGTCGCCTTCGTCATGCTTGATTTTTTTGACAGCCTCCTCGGCTTCCTCGCGGAACTTGCGCTTCTTTTCGCTATCCAAGCCAATGCCTCCACGGCCTTCCTTGAGGACCAGATTGAGAGGCTCGGACCGCGACTGACCCGCGCCAGAGCCGCTAGCGCCTTCCCCTTCCTTATCCTTATCCGTCGTGTCTTTTCCTAGCGCCTGTCCCGGCTTGAATCCCAGCTTTGCCATCATCTGGAATCCTTTGTTGGACGGGTCCAGAGTGCTGGTGGTCAGGGCGGCATCGCGGCGCTCAGCTTCCTGGGTGGCTCGTTCGGCTTTCGAGGGGACCTTCGCGCGGGCCTCCGCCTGTATCGCAATAAGAGGGAACTAGTTAGTCCAATGCGGACTATATTATGCGGGGCGGGTTGGGGGGCAATTGGGCGACCAACGTACCTCACGCTGTTGTCGACGTTTCTTCTGAGCAAAGGTTTCCTTCTGTTGGGGCTCCTCAATGACCATAGACATGTAGTCATCCTCCTCTTTCCCAGATGCGGGGTCTTTAGGAGGACCCATTTCTAGGGGTTGGGAGTCTGGACAAAGAAATAGGCCGCTGGGGGAACGGAGAGAGACTAGAGAGACGGGATGTTGGAGGACAGTTGAAAGTTGATTCGAAGAGTGGAAATGCGGAGATTTTGGATCCTGCTGGTTGGCCTGAGGCGCCCAGGCGACTCCACCCGCCTTCCTTGCTTCGGACGAGTCTCCGATCGACTTGACTCCTACACTTGTCTACACTCACTCGACTAATTCGAAAGGCTCGATCTCAGAAATGCTGCTCCGTGATTGACAATGAGAGCTGTCACATCGGCTGTCATTCTTCTTTCGCCCCTCCTTCCATCGAAGCCCGAATGCTATTATGACCTATGACGGTTGGGTGGAAGGAGTAAACAAACATCCTGGTCGACATGGCTTGATTTAGGTGATGAGGCTTGCAATAGTCGCGTGCCGATCTGTTTTCCATCCACCCACCCCCTCACTCAATGCAGGAAGTGGCGCAGGATTCCGGCAATATGATTTTGTCTCTCCCTCCGTAGGAATGCGTGCAAGAACGCTATCCCCGCGACGCGATGTCTCAATGAGTATAAAGGGGGGACAGGGACCGCTGGCAGCGCGGCGAGAAAATGCACCTCTGCTCCTTCCAGTATCGTCGCGCCCATTTTTCATCTGCCAATAACCTCATTTCAAAGCAGAAATGGTCCGGGTGGGTCTGTTGACACAGGGCGTTCTCTTTCTGTCCGGCGTCTTCGCCCAGAGAACCGCCGTCGACCTTGGTTACGCCCGGTACAAAGGCCAGCCACTTCCCAACGGCATCGTCCAATGGCTTGGGATGCGCTATGCTGCTCCTCCCGTAGGCCTGTTGCGCTTTTCCGCGCCCCAGGATCCGGAGGAAGTGGATGGGGTTCAGGATGCATTTCAGGTACGTCTTTCGGTCACCACCCCTCCCTGGCACCTGCCATTCATTGATCATTGACTGAGAGCTCGGCCATAGCACGGTCCACTGTGTATTCCTACTGTGACTGAGGAAGAAGTCTTCCCCGATGGAACGGCGGAAGATTGCCTCTTTATCAATGTCCATGCTCCTCGGAATATATCCAAACCGTTACCCGTGTACTTCTGGATCGAGGGTGGTGGCTTTAATGAAAATTCACAGGCTGACTACGACGCATCGGGCTTGATCCGTGCCTCTCACATGGGCATCGTTGTGGTTACCTTCAACTATCGTGTTGGGCCTTATGGTTTCTTGGCCGGAGAGGAGGTTGAAAAAGGAGGAAGTATGAACAACGGCCTAAAGGATCAGATCAAAGCCCTGCAATGGGTCCAGAAACACATCCGCAAGGTATGTCGTCTACTCCATGAGAAGAAGGGCATGGCTAATCATCTATCTGCCTTGTACAAGTTCGGCGGCGATCCGAACCATGTGGTTCTTGGCGGCGTCAGTGCCGGCGCTGCGTCGATCACGCTTCTCCTCTCGGCGCATGGCGGGAGAGACGACGGTCTTTTCCATGCGGCTGCCGCAGAATCTCAGAGTTTTGCTGGCATGCTGACCGTGAAAGAAAGCCAATTCGCGTACAATAACCTCGTGATTCGTACCGGCTGCGCGAGCGAGGAGGATACCCTTGCATGCTTGCGCAACCTGGATGTTGGAACTCTTCAAAGTGTCAACATAAACACTCCTCTACCCAAAGCGCAAGAGGCGCCGCTCTATATGTACGGACCGGTTGTTGATGGGACGCTCGTTCCCGACTATACGTATCGCCTTTTCCACAAGGGAAATTTCATCAAGGTCCCGGTCATCTTCGGCGATGTCACTAATGAAGGCACTGTTTTTGCCCCTAAGGAGATATCCACTGTTGGCGAGGCAGATATCTTCTTGCAGAGCCAGTTCCCGGAGATCCAACTACGTCACCTCGCTCGCATCAACGCCATGTATCTCCAAGAAAACGAGACGCGCCAGTACCCCGAGGCCGGGCCCTACTGGATACCGGCCAGCAACGCGTACGGAGAAATGCGGTATACCTGTCCCGGAATGGACATGTCTTCCGTGTATGCCCGGGCCGGAGTTAAAAGCTGGAACTATCATTACGCAGTTCTGGACCCAGACTCGGAAGCCGCTGGCGAGGGGACGGCCCATACGCAGGAAGTCAACGCCATCTTCGGTCCGCAGCATGTGACGGACGATGATCCCCCGGCCTCCTACTTCACCACGAACGCGCCCATTATTCCGGTTGTGCAAGGCTACTGGACAAGCTTCATTCGATCATTTGATCCAAACCTGTATCGTCGGCCAGGGACCCCGGAGTGGAAACAGTGGGGCAGAGATAACGAACACCGCCGACTTTTTATCAGGACGGGCGAGACGGGAATGGAAGTCGCTCCTCCCGATCAGGTGAGACGATGCGACTACCTGATCAGCATCGGACTGGATCTTGCGCAGTGAAACATACGCGCCGTGTGGGACTAACAGATGCGTTCTTTTTTTTCGGTGTACATAAGTAGACACCTTCGCGGCATACGTGAACATACAATGAACAAACAAATTACTATTAGTTATTATAGGTGCTTACGTAGGTAGGGTTAGATGACTTTGCAAAAGAAAAACCTCAACATATGACGTGTAAACGAAAGAATTCTCTTGATTTTTGTACCATCATAACCCCTATGACCCGAATGTGTATATGTACACCGATAAAGAAATAGAATAAAGGCAGCATGCGCCGTCCAAACAGATAACACAGGCTCGTCATTCCGAGCAGCACGTCGAGTATTATCACCATTTGCCCCGGCGCATTTTCCTCTCTTTGTCGTAAGCGTTGGCCTCGCGACCTTCTTCGTTCTGCACATCCGCGATAAGCCGCTTGTACTTGCGTTCGTACTCGGCATCGCGCTCTCTCTTCTCGCGCAACTGCTCGCGCGCAATGAAGTTGGCGTCTTTGCGCAGCTCGCGGATAGCGCCCTTGCGCTCGCGCTTGTGCTCCGCCTTGAGACGGCTGAGCTCGGCACGCTCGCGGTTCGGGTCGTAGTGCTTGTCCGGGTTGAAGGTCTCCTCGAACTTGGGGATGGCGGTTTTGATAGCCAGCGGGCGGTGGTAGTGGAGAACAAGGGGGCGACGAGCAAGCCGGGACTGCGATAGGTGGCGATCGATCTTGTCCAGGGTGAGTTGCAGGGCATCGCGCGCGGCGGACGACACCTTTGCTAGGCCGGTTTTGCTCACATGGCGGAGCACAGCCTGCACGGGTTCGAAGACCTCGATGAAGGACGAGTTGTCGGCCCACAGGTCGGAGGCGGTGTCGAGGAGCTGGACGAGGGCCGTTATCAGGGCGAGCTTGAGCTCTTCTTGGGCCTTCGAGGTGGACTCGGGACCGGCGACGTCCCAGAATTGAAGTTTGCGAGGAGAGATGGACTTGGATGTGGTGAGTCGCAGAGATTGCTGAGGGGACCGCAGGGGAAAGGGTGCGAGGTCGCCCGATGGCTTCTTGGGCGCAAGATTCAACAGGGCGTTTAGGACGTAGTTGATGAACTCAGGCATGTATCGCTTCGATCGGGCCTGGTACTGGAGCACAACGCTGGCGGCGTACGTACCCGTGGCGAGGTCGCCGAGGGTGTTGACGGCGCCCTGTCCTAGATACCGAGCAAGACAGAGGTGCGCCGGGGTGGCGACGGCGTGGAAATGGTCTGAGGTAGGAAAGACGGTGCCGATGCCGGTCAGAACGATAAGGTCGCTAGGACGAAGATTGAGTGGGCGATCAGCTGCCATCTCGCGGAGTCGCGCCCTGAATGCCAAGGAGACGCTCTCAGCATGAGTCTTTGCCATCGAATGGACGTGTCGGAGAATGTTCTCGAGGATAGTGAAGGGAGGATGTTCCGGTTGTTCGGCCATGTACGCAACATGTTCAACCAGAATAGCCGCGAACTGCCCAAGCTTCGTCTTGTTGCCATTCTGGAGACGCGAGTGGTGCAGGGCTCGGATTCGCTGGATGACAGTGGGCAGATCTTCTACAGGCACATCTTTGATTATCCGAAGGAATTCGTCATGATCTCCCGGGCAGGGATAGGTATAAGCCAGTCCGTCCTTTTCTTCCAGCGTGGCTGCTTCTGGGGCTGAATCATCACCGTCTTCGGGCTCATCCTCCTCTTCGGAATCGTCCGCAGGAAAGCCCTCCTCGTCACTGTCACCAACAGATAAACTGACATCAGACCTCGTTTCCACGAGGTCATTGTCGATAATGAAATCGTCCTCATCTTCGACTCCAAGGTCGGGACGAAAACCATCTTCGTCGGCAGTCTGCTGCAGCCCGAAAGCCATAGCATCGTCCGGGAGAGACTCCTCTTCAAACATTGCATTTCCTTCATCGCTGTTTTGATCTTCTTCCTCGTCGTCATCTTCCTCCTCCTCACTCAACTCTTCGCCACGCATTCTTCGAACACGCTCCTCCTCAAGTGCCTTGAGTCGCTGTGCTTCCTCCTCAGCCTTTTCTTCTGCCGTTTTGGTGCGGTCTGTTGGCATAGAACGCTTGTCGAAGGTCAATTGCTTAAGACGCTGATCATACTCCTTTTCGGTATCCTTGTCGTCGGATGCATTCAACAAGGCAGCGCGGTCTGGATTCATCGCTGCAAGGTCATCCTTGGGTGGCTCGGGCTTCGGTGGAGGCTTAATCCCCCTCAAAATATCGAAAAGGTCCGGGAGACCCTTGTCGAGTTCTTCACGAAGGTCGTCGTCATCCTCCTTGGCTTGTTGTCGCTCGAGTTTATGGAATTTGGACTTGGCGATCACCTCCTTCATAACTTCATGCTTCGATTTCTTCCGCTCAGGCTGGTCTTCTCCCTCCTGGTTATCCACAACCTCTTCCATCTCGCCGTCTTCATTGAGGAACCGTTTTCTCTTTCGGGGTATCTCGGAATCCGACATGTCATTCTCCTGCTCGTCCAGGTCACCCTCCTGGAAATCATCTAGGGGTCCGCCTTCGCCAAAGGCCAGGGACTCGCCCTTGTGTGTGAGTGTGAATTCCTCTTCGTCATCTTCGAGATTGAACATCGATTCCTTGCGCAGTTTTCGTTGACTCTCCTTGGCAAAACGTTCGGCGGCCCTCTCTTCGGGAGTCATGGTCGGGTCGTTTTCACCGAATCGACGATCCAAAACGCCACCGACTTTCTTTCTGCGTTCCATATCCCGGAGAAGGGTTTGGCGTCTCTGAAAAGGTTTCACATATCAGTCATGATGATCCACCATGCATGGGTCAAGGATTGCGATCCATCTCACCTTTTCTTCACCGAGCGACTTGGTCACACCAGGTCTCGCCTGCGCACCCGCAGATTTGGAGCCACTATCACGGGTGGTGACATCGAATTTGGACCGCGTATTCGTCGTCTTGATTTCGAAGGGATTGAACCGGTCCCGAACGGCTTGCAGAGCGGCATTGCGCTGCGCCCGGTTCTGCGCGCCGACGCCGGATTTCGCATCCTGGCGCTTCTTCTTCTTGGACTGCTGCGGCCCAAGCACTCCAGTGTCCCGGAGAGAGGCCTTCAGCTGTTTCAACTGTGACGGCGGCATGGCTGCGTGGGGAAGTTGAGGCAAAAGCGATCGGCTTCTCCGCCGAAATTTTTGGGATTATTTTCGCTGGGCCCGCCGAAAAAAAAAAAAAAAAAAAGTAGCCTCACCGCCTTCGACGCCGCTGTTCTGCCGTCTCTTTTCCTCTCGTTGCGCCTCTCCGCTTTCCAGCCGACGTTCAAGTATTCCCACGCCGTCTTCGCCATGGCCTCGCATCTGAGCGATCGGCTACTATGGTTGTGTTTAGGTATGCCTAGCCTTCTCCTTTATCGTAATTTGAATTACTTTGGCGTGACACTGACCCAACAGGTGTCACTCTCTTCTTCGCCGTGCGCGGAATCGCCACGGACCTCCGCCGGGTCCGTGATTTGACGGAGATCAAGCATGTCGAGAAGGAGGATAGGATGATCAGCGAGGGCACAGAAGATGGTCAGTTGACTTCCCTTAGTTATTACTGGATTCTAAGGCTGACCTAGTTCCAGCTCTCAAATTAGACACCTTGTTAAAGCTCTCTGAGAGCACCAATCATGATCTCCGCGCGGCGTATGACGACATCAAACCTCCTCCTCAAACGAACTTCATTAACATTCTCTCTAGGGCTCTGCGCATAATCGCCGAACGCTCTACTAAGGGCGAAACTCGGGATCTGTTTCTAGAGGACCTGGCAAGCAAGCATAAGGATCGACGGAACAAGGCGCTCAGCGCCATACACTTTCTAGTCTCGAATCGAGCACGTAAGGTTTCCTATCTTGGTCCTGCACATCCTGAAGAATCGCCAAATTCTAACTGACCGGGCTTTTAGTGGCACGAACCTCCGTATGTACACGACTACAGGACCTCACAACCTATACCGCACTCGTCGATTGTCTCTGCAATTTCTTAGAGGAGCATGTCGAAGAGACATCGACTACCGTGTCCCCCATCTTCCCGAAAACGAGACCGCTAGGGGAAAAGAAGGCCCTCAGCACGCTCAATCATGTCCTCCAGGAAAATATTCCAGCCGCATTGGAGGCCGGTGTAATTAGTCGCTGGCTCGACAAGTACCCGTTCCCCTGCGCACTTGCGGAACCATCACGGCGGCAGGACGTCGTGATCCTGATGAAGACATGGTGGTCGGACGATTCGATAATGAGCTCCATATTCAGCACCCTGTCCTCTCACCCGGAGGCAATTAAGCAGCTACGGAAATACGGATTGATGGGCAGCTTGATAGAAGAGAACGATCCGGACGACGAAGACAGTGACGTGTGGATGGTCGATGGGGAGGACACGGCTGGTTCAAGACACATTCCGGGGCGGCGGCTGCGCGAACGCAGCGCCGAAGAGCAGGCTGTCAGGCGGCGCCGGAGGGAAGCCATGGTGCTGAGCGACGGTGAGCGACCGCTTGGTAATGACGACATCATCCAATTACCCATGTCGGAATGATTGATAAGTTGATGTGATCTTTGTTAATTGCTACTTTCCCGCGTGGAACTTGATCGCCATGGTCTTTGGAAGTTTGGGGGAGAGATAATGACAGAAGTCGTGGCGTCTGTGTGACGATGTGTTCATTATGCATATATGATACCCTTCTTTAAAATTAAGATACAACATAATTATTCTCTGTGTTACGTAGGATGTGGCCAATCAAAGACCGATCCATGAGGTCTTCGCGGCATGATCGACCTTCTTACGGCTGGATTTGATCGTGCCCATCGCCTTTAGCTCCGATAGAGCCCGATAGAACAGGGTCATGGTCATGCGCTCGTCGCAGCGGTCTCCTTGATCGCTCTCAAATACTGCATGGAATGCATGCCAAAGGTCGTGCATGTTCACAAGGGACCCAGACTCGAGGTACAGCTGATATAAGATCGCCGTAGCAGGCTGTTTGGCCGAGACTTTCGTCTCCGCCGCCTCCGAAGTCGATATCAAGTAATCGAAGGGGTTTGATAATGCACGCTCAATGGCAAAGCGCGGTCGCGGGGCAAAGGTTTCCTTCAGTGGATTTTTCATATCAATCAGGAAGACCTCATGCAGGAACAGGTCCTGTGGCCGGAAAAGACTCGCCTGGAAATACGCCTCCGAAAGATTGAGAAAGCGGTTGACAATATTCGTATATTCAATGTCCTGTTCAGACAGCTTTGATTTGCCCTTACTGACTTTTACCCGCTGTTGAACAACCGTTGTTGCCATGGTGGAGTGGCGGCTGTCGTACTCACTCCGAAGTGGCTCGGGGCTTTGGTACTTCTCGAGCAAGTCATCCAGATCTTTTTCGATTTTTACGAACCCTGGATGCTGCATGAGATGACGGGAAAGGACCGTGAAAAGCGCCTTAAGTCGGGTGGAGTCTAGAGTCTTGACGGTCCGGAGGATGTCTCCTACCAATTGCGAATCCAGCAACTCCCCTGAGAGTGCCAGGATCGATAGGTCGGATATGCCTGTCCGCTTGACAAGGTTGAATTCCTTTAGACAAGAGTGAACAACCTTGACGGCTTGGAACATATCGCGCAATTTTTGCTGTCCAGCTCCAAGTTGTCGTAGACTTTCATGAAAGAGAATCTGATCGTCCTCTAGCAGGTTGCGCACCTGTTTCAGGTGGCCCTGATCGGTGAGATCTTCGCAATATCTAAAAGGGGGTTAGCGGAATGGTTGTCATCCATCTATGGGAAGATCCTCACGTTCGGAAAGACGAAGTGTTTCTGATTGCCTCACACAGTTGGCGCTGCTGCAATTTGCCTTCGTCTCGATCGTCCGCAAGAAGGACCGCCAGGGGATTCGCGAAGAAATGCGACATGTAGGCATACTTTTCGCTGTTAGCATTGAGAATTAGGGATACCAAGGAAAGAGAAAAAGTACTTTGACGGTTCGACTAAAAGCTTCCGGCGTCTGAAAGAAGTCGCTTGACTTTTCTAACAGAATGTTTGTGATGCTGCGGCCTATCCATAGTTGACCATCCTCCTCCGCCTGTATTCGCTCATAGATGCGATCAACACAGTTGCTTGCCTCGTGGATTTCAAAATATTTCCCTCTCAATAAGGCGACACTCGATCGCGGGAGTCGTCCCTCGAAGAGCTCAACGGAGGTTGAGATTCCGAACAACAGGGTGAAAGGGATTCGGTCAAGCCAGGAGCTGAGAAATCAGTCTCTGTTCTGAACATGGTCTGGTGCAACCAACTCACCTTAGCAGAGATAACAGATCCGTTAGAATATTCGGATCAAAGGCTTCGCTATCTCGAAAAGCGAGTACTAATTTCTTGACGCCCTTTTTTTGTACATAGTCCCCAAGTAGGTCGAGATCATATCCAAGTAATCGGGGTCCCTGCCTTGTCGTTAGTTCCTTGTCGTATTTCTACCGGTCTAGAGCGAAAGGCATACATCTCGATCATTCAAGAACGATTGGTAACCGGCATTCCCCTCGGTGTTCGCGATTGCGGCTCGAATGGTATTTTTCAGCGTTGCCTTGAGGTTGGGCGCATCCCCAGAATCGAGCATGACTACTCCTCCCTCGTTTGTCGAAATCAGTTGATCATTGAGTCGCGCCAAAAGTCGACCAAGGGAAGAAACGTTGGATCCGACGGTCACCAGTGCGGAGGGAATGCAGCCATCATACCTATCTAGCGTCAGACCGAGCAACATAAGAGCTGTTATATTTGTATATTACTTACGTCTCGGGCGATGTCGACCTGACGAAAGATGCAACATTCTCCAGGACCTCCGAGTCGACCTCGTCCAAAACCCTCTATACCCCAATTAGCCAGGCCCTATCTCAATTGCGGTTGACGTCAAATAGGGACCGTGCGTGCTGACCTGGATTTTGGCTTCCTGGGCCCCCCATAACTGCTGGAAAGCTTTATATCTCAAGTCGATCGATTCCGGCTTCTCGTCTCCGTTCAGCAGCGGGGCGAAGATGCGCGCGTTCTGCTCAGGTTCATGCTCTGACGATAACACCTTACGTCGCTTCGTGGGTCGTTCTCTGTACGCCTTGGACGAGTCTGCAGGGCGATAGATATACACGCCCTGGACGATGTTAGAGACGGGCCAACCGGACTGCGATTAGGTTCAAGAAATAACCCACCTGGGAGTTGGCGCCATCTTTTGACGCAGCTATCGTATCCTCTAGCGGATCCATTGGACGAGAGGAAGCGAAGGGAAGGACAACTAAGGGGAGAGGGAGCAATTGAGCGCATGGATGATCGAATTGAAGGGAAACCCGCAGCTCGTGTCGACGCTAAACCGGATCGGGTCGAAATGGGGAATTTCCGCCGCGGAGCTTCTGCAGCGTTCATCTTCCATCACTTCCTTTTCTCTCGTTCCCGCCACTCAACCACAACGCGCCTCCTCCCTTTCCCCTGACTTCGTTTCGTCCGATGAACTAAACGACCACTCTTCATGCTCCGCCAGGCTGTTCAGGGGGCTCGGTGGTATCAGCATGTGGCCCGCAGAAGCCCGTCGATTCCATCTTTGCGGCCGCGTGCGTTCTCCGCCGCAGCGCCACGCCCTTCCAATTATGGCGGCCCCGATGACAAGATTCGCTTTTACGAACAGTTGACGCGCGGGAGCAAAACGAGAAAAAGGGTCGATCCGGAGGCCGATGACCGCGCCGAGCGAAGAGACATGCAGGAGGAATTATCGAAATTGGATGCCGAACTAGAAATATTGAAGGAAGGCCCTTACGGTCCCAATAGTCCGTTCATCCAGGGGCTGCCTGAGAAGGACCGGCAGATTGCACTCGAGGCTCTGCGAAAATATGAAGAGGAGCACGGCAAGGAAGAAGCCTTCAACCTGGATCAGGTCTTTGATGAGAAGCTAGACGAAGTGTTGCGGAAAGAATTCGAAGGCATGGCCAAAGAAGAAGAGAATTGGCAGGCGCAGGAGGATGACGATGATGCGCAGAAGATAATCGTGAGACAGCCGTATGAGGTCGTTTTGGAGGACTCCGACCAGGGAGCTTATATCGACAAATTCAACCAGTGCTTAAGACGGTCCGCGGAAAGCAAACCTAACGAACGACTTGCACAAGAACTGTGGAATTGGTATCGCCGTTGCAAACAGGTCGTCCCCAACTTTTTGCAATCTATCCCTGAAGAAGGTTTGGATATACTGTGGACCTCCACAACTACTACAACCTCGGCAGGGCCCTCTCGAGCAGCCCATATCCAAACACTTGCAGAGGATGTCATGTCTGTCGGGAAATCTCTCTCAACCCCGTATACCCTTGCCTACATCGAGTCTTTACAGGAAACGGGCAAGACAAACTTGGCACTAGACCAGTGGGAGGCACACCAGAGCAGTCTTTCCCAGAAGAAAGAGGATCTGGAAGCCTATTGGAAACTCGGAGTACAGATCTTCTCGGCAGAGGGCGACCCTCAACGTGCCCAGGACATTTCACTGGCATTCCTTGCCAATGATAAATCGCGTGATGCTCGAATCCTAATCCCGGTGATTCTGGCCTGGGCCAGGCAAACCGGTAAGGAACCGGCAGTCAAGGCATGGTCGCTATATCTGCAATTTAAGGCTTTCCTGGAGCACCAGCCCATGACAATGGAGGACTACGATCGCATCAGCATCGGTCTACTAAAAACAAACCAGCTCAACCTCGCCATTGCCGTGTTCAAAGACATGATGGTTACCGGTCAAGATCCAGCAAATGACTCGACTTCTCTCTACAAGAAAGCCCTCGGCCTTGTGGGCAACCTTCAAGCATCCAGCATCTCAGAGGGGGATGTGAACCAAGTGTCACTTGCTACGCTGACAGTTTTGCCTCGCCGCTTCCAGAATCGGTTCTTCTATGCCAGCTGGATGAAGAAGCTGATTGGCATGGGCGAGGTCGATTCAGCGGCCATGGTAATTGAACTGATGTACGAGCGGGGGGTCAACCCCGACCCGAAGCATCTCAACGGCTTGATCGCTGCCTGGCTTCGTGAACCAAACCCTGACTCTCGCGAGAAAGCCGAACGACTCGGCTGGGCCATGGTCCAACGACGAATCGACACGGTTTGGACGCGTGCGAAACCGTCCGACAATTCTCCTCAGGTCGAGGTAAACGAAGAGGCAGACGTTGCACGGATTCCCAAATTCATGCAGCGACCGATGCCCTCCGCAAATATCGAGACCTTCTCGATCCTTCTCCTCCACTACACCCGACGAAGCGACGAAGACATGACCGAACATTTGGTCAAGTGCCTCACCGACGCTCAGATTCGGCCAAACTCTTATTTTATGAACCACCTCCTGTACGCCGAGCTACGGAAGCAGGACATCCGAGCTCTGTGGGTCAAATTCAAGTCCATGTCCGCTTCAATTCAGCCAGATCTCGAGACGTACGCCTGTCTCTGGGACTGCGGGAAACTGCAATACGATCGAGGCCGCACCGCGTTTGTTTCGGGGTTCCCGTCCGCTCGCAGTCTCTACGCCGAGATGATGCAATGGTATTCACAGCTGTCCACCCGCGGCCGGGCCATCGCGCACGACGAATTCTCCAAGGAACTCTACGACCAAATCGTGCGCTGCCTCTGTCTCTCCAAGGACCCCGCAGGCACCTTGGTGGCGCTCTCCTCGTTGCGCGCCATCTTCGGCATCGCGCCCGACGACACCACCGCCCGCCTGATCGTCCTGCAGGTTGCCCGGATGGCCGGCGTCCCGGTCGATACGCCTAAGCGACGCCTCCGCCGTCTCTCCTCGACCCCGAAGAGCAAAGAGAACATCGCCCACGTCAACCGGCTCGTGGAGATCCTGAGCGAACGCAAACTCGCTGCTCTCCAGGCCCGAGGCCTGAGTCTCGACACCCTTGAACCGCCGGAACGGGAACAGTACCAACTCGAAATCATGGTCGAGCTGCTCCGCGTCGTCATGGGACGGTCGACCGGCGATCCCAGCCGAGTCGAACGCGACATCGCCACGGCCGCGACGGAAATGGGTGTCGCGGGCCTCGAATTCAATACGTCGCTGGCAGACGATGACCTCTTATCCTAAAAGCCCTCGGGGAGGCGAAAGTTTACGTGGGAAGGGCAAATACATACAGCACGGCGTTTTTTTCTTCCATCTGATCAAGATTCTCACTACAAAATGGTTTTGAAGCCATAGAGCATATATAGAAAGGCGTTTATATCAGGGCGGCGCTGCTGCTTTTATGTACATAAATCGGGCAAAAGAAGGGCTTACTGTGTACTATATAGTGAAGGGGGTTTTTTCCACTCTTGGTGCAGGTTTTTTGAATGCTTCCGCTCACAGCAACTTGGCCTATAATTAATTGAATTTCCATCATTACATTCCTACAATAGAGTGGGCGAGGATCATAACGATTCTTTTAATTCTAGATTCCAACGGATCGTAGCTCCAACCATTTTGTCAAGTATAATACACGCTGGATGGGGAATCCCGTAGGCTGGGCCGTGAGCTGATTCAGAAGCTGCGAATTCGTTGGCTGTTGTGGCTGCGATTGCTGAGCTGGAGGAGCTGATTTGTTCTCAAGCAGTGGCGCCTCGAAATTCGGAGCATTCGTCCGGGATACGGGCTCCGGTTGCGTATCGGGGACCGTGAACGAGATGATATCCACCATACTGGGGTGTCCACACCCAATGCTACAATTTATTTGAGGATCGGAGAAAGATCAAAGGGAACAGAAGACAAAAAATCCAACCTTCCAGGGTTATATTGAAAGAAGAAAAAAACTAATAAGACATCGACAGAAAGCTCCCTTATCATGCATGAGGCGAATAAAAAGAAAAGAAAACCCCATCAAAGAATCAACGAACGCAGTTATTTCTTGCCCTTCTTCTTCTTCTTCTTCATGCCAGGAGTCCCGGGAGTCCCGTTTTGCTCATCTGCCTCCACTAACACCGCATCATCATCACTGCCGGTCACGGACGAAGGCGCCGCAGAGGACTCGGGCGTCTTTGTCGCGGGAGTCGAGCTGCTGGTGGTAGTCGGAGTTACGGGTGCCGGTTCAGAGGGTCGTGAGGTGTCTTCGGCATCCAATTCCTTCATAAATCCTTCCTGGATAGTGGCCTTCTTACGGTCCCACCACTGGCGTTCCTCCTCGAATTTGGATTGCTGGGCCTCAACTCGCTGGCGGTAAATGTCGTTGTTCATCATCTCGTTGGCGGATTGGAAGATCACTTGGCCCCAACCAGGCTGGTAAGCGTTGGCCTAAAAGACATCACGAATCCAGTCAGTATTGTGGTCTTGCGCAGGTGGCGCGGAATTCGCGCCGGGGGATGAAGAGGGCCTACCTCAGAGACAACGTCGCGAACCTCGTCCTCCATTTCCTTCTCAGCTCGTTGGAATCGCTGCCACAGATCATCGCCCACACTGCCGCGTTGAAGCAACATAGCCAATGCCTGCTTCTGACTCCGCAGGGCCAGCACCCGCTTAATATCTTCAGTCGCACGTCTCAGGAGAGCGGCCTTGAGAACAGTCTCCGGCACAGCAGGAGCTTTCTTCTCCTTGGAACCCGTCGCGGGTGGATCAAGATGAAGCAGGGAGAAGTAGATGTCTCGTTGAAGGTGGGGCGGGAACCATGGTTCTAGGGAGAAAGCCTTCTCTAGAAAATGACGAGACGTTAGCACCTGTAACATAAATTTGTATTCCCAGCAGGACGATGAGAAAGCACACGGGCGCGCTTCACATACGGGCTTTGCGCTTGCGGTATAACGAGGAGAAGGTCGCCAAAGAGCCAATTAAGACGCCGAGGTAGGCGAATGGCACGGCGAGATTTATCCAGTTGACCATTTCGTTTTCAAGCGATGTACAACTGGTCTAGAAGGTAAGATCGAGAAGTAGTTGGAGTGGACACGAGAGTTGGAGTATTGGTTGAGCGGGGACCTAGAGGGTCATGTGTTTTTTTTTGGGGGTCGAGAGTTCGCGGCGGACCGGAGTAAAGCGCGAGAGTAGAGCGAACGGATCCCGACACCGACGGACTTATACACAGGCACGGTAGCAGGCAAAAGCGAAGGAAAAGTGTCGGGTGCCTGAAGGGAGAGGGAGAGAGGGTCGCTGAAAGAAGTCGGGGCCAAGTCGCCGCTGGACAAAAGCTCCTTCGGGAAAGGCCAGCCTGGTGTCTTGGCCTCATCACATGGGCGGTCAGGCGGTCCCTCCAAGTCACGAGTATAACTACTTATACGGAGTAAT